TCGACTCGGTTCTTTCAGGTACTAACGCCACCCGCAAGATAACATGTCAACAGTGCCTTTCGTAGGGCTTTTTTTTTTTTTTTTTTTTTGGCGGGGAAAGGAGGGAGACTGTTGTTGGACAAAGAGAGGAGATTCTGTGTCCCTGCATGGTTTCATAGCGATTCAGACTAGAACTTTCGACTCCGGCTTACGATATCTACAACTGAGTAGGAGGGGGGAGAAAAAAGAGGAGAACGTCGGCATCTATCCTGTCATCAATTCCTCTCATGCATGTATGCCTTGTTAGAATCAGATGGTGTTCTGTGGGCGCCGCGAACTCCACCAGTCTAGGCCCTAAGCTGGGGCCAGATTTAATCTATCTTCACCCGATACGTAGATTGAATCTGGTCTCTAGCCCTACGGAGTATGTTATCGGTCCCTCAAGATTAGATGGGAACCACCGAATCCATAATATCCGCTTTTAAGGGCAATGGCCAAGGAAACAGAAACGAAAGTGAAAAAAGAATATAAGTTAAAATAAAATCTCACACAAAAATACCCTCGTACAAAGCCCCATGCATGTCACATCTGATATAATATTCCCCGTTGCCCGAACCCCCAGTCTCATCTCACTCGGACCAGGCACAAAAGTAAGCGGCACGGGTGGTGAATGTTAACCAATGTGTACCCTTTGACAGGACGACACATCACAATAACTTGAAGGGACTCAATCTAGAGGGAATACGAACAACCCTGTACGACTGGGAAAGGCAACGAATGCAGAGTCACACGTCAGAAATGAAGTTCACTAAGCCTAGACCCGGTACATCTGTCTGCCATCGTGTTCGGGGCCTCACCGTGGAAAGAGACTAATCGGGTTCAGGCGGGAAACATGGTCGAGATCCATCACTTCGGGTATTGTCTAGTATTGGACCTAGTGGCAACTGGTACGGTGACATTCGATGCATAAGTTAGGGCAGGGAACCCCCCCCCCTCTTCTTTTAAGACTAGCACTTGGAAAATTTCTCCTCGCTAGGGTTTGGCGACGGCGGACTTTACTTGATTGGGTACATACTTCGTGTACTGACGGGAATTACTAGTACCTGGTGAGTACGGAGTACTCCGGAGCACCTAGGTAAATGGAAGACACATCCAGAAAAAAGCAAGTCAAAGTATGCGGACATTGGAAGAGTCTCTAATCTCTCTTTTTCTTTTTTTTTTTTTTTTTAACCAATGCCTATACTTATTCACACAATGAACGACACGCTCCTGATCTAGACAACACAGCCGTGTTTCACTACTGGAAGTTACGTGGATATAATACTATCAGGTATGATCCGCGGTATCTTGTTCCAGGACTACCGCCTCTGTTGCTCGACTGTTATACCGGAGTACTAAAGTGCATACAACAAGGGAGACACTCATATGACTTGTGCTACGACAGATCCCTTGTTATGGGTAGTACTAGACGGTACAGCTACATTCTCCCTCCACCAATAATGGAGGGACCGTAGGCGATTCACGGCTCATAATGTAACAGTACCTCGACTAGGTAGCCAAGTCGCTTCAATGTCCTGGGAGCAAGGCAACGGATGTCTCCTACTACATCTGTTCCGGATTGCATGATACAAGAAATCTCCATGAATAAATCACAAACGTTAGATTCCTAATCATTCTATCTAAGTCACATTTTTGCCATTAAGACCGTCCCAGGACGTTGAAAATAAAAAGAGACAAACCAGTCAAGGTTTTTTTGAGATACATGCACGTCAGAACAGCAAAACCACGAAATAAACAGTAGAAAATAAATCAATATCCAGTATCCATCAAACTCATGATATCAATGCGTACAAACAAATGTCAGATCCATACCCGCGCGCCTATTGCAAACCCAATCATTATATAGAATATGTTCAACCCTGGCACATGACGCAGGCTTCCTTGTTCTCAATGCTACATTGGAGGACCTTCTGAGAATAGATGTCATTCTCGCGCTCCTCGCTCGTCTTCTGGTCATCCTCGCTCTGGGATTCGCCGTGGGCGGCCTCTTCCGCACGTGAGTTGGGCTCAACAGACCCATTGGCCTGTCCGTTGGTCTCGCTTGTGGGGGAGCGAGGGACAGCAGAGTACGTGTTGGATGCTGCGCCCACGGCCCGCTTCCGGAAAGAAGCATTGGCCCGAGCGACGTTGGTATCAGCAACCTTGAGGGCCTCCTGGTCCACAGTGAACTGGATGGGAGCCGAGGCGGCCATGGTACGCAGGTAGTACATGCCGGTCTTCAAGCCCATCTTCCAGCCAGCGAAGTGCATGCTGGTGATCTTACCCATAGTCGGCTCCTTGAGATGGATGTTAAGCGACTGGGACTGGTCAATGTAGGCACCACGGTCCGCAGCCATCTGCAAGATCGAACGCTGGGAGATTTCCCACACGGTCTTGTAGAGGGCCTTGATGTCCGCGGGGATGTTAGGGATGTTCTGGACGGAGCCACCCTCGGCAATGATACGGTTCTTCATGTTGTCCGACCACAGACCAAGATCGACCAAGTCCTTGAGAAGCCAAGGGTTAACGACCTGGAACTCACCCGCAAGGACACGGCGGGAGTAGATGTTCGAGGTGTATGGCTCGAAGCACTCGTTGAAGCCCAAGATCTGACTGGTGCTTGCGGTCGGCATAGGCGCCACTAGCAAGCTGTTGCGCACGCCGGTCTGCGCGATCTTCGCCTTGAGAGCGTCCCAGTCCCAGAGATCAGTTGGGGTCCGGTCCCACATGTCGTATTGAAGAATACCCTGGGAGACGGGGGAGCCTTCATATGACTCGTACGTTCCGAAGTCCTTGGCCAGGTCAGATGAAGCAGTCAAAGCTCCATGGTAGATGGTCTCGAAGATTTGGGTGTTCAGCTGCTTCGCCTCGGCCGAGTCGAATGGCAAACGAAGGGCAAGGAAGGCATCAGCCAGACCATTGACACCAAGAGCAATGGGGCGGTGACGCATGTTGCTGTTCTTAGCCTCGGGGACAGGGTAGTAATTGATATCGATGATCTTGTTCAGGTTACGGACCAGCACCTGCACTACTTCGTGGAGCTTGCCAAAGTCGTATTCACCCCGGGCAGCATCAACGAAGGTGGGCAGGGCAAGAGAGGCAAGGTTGCAAACAGCAACCTCATCCGGAGCAGTGTACTCAATGATTTCAGTACAGAGGTTGGAACTGCGGATTGTTCCCAGGTTCTTCTGGTTGCTCTTTTTGTTACAGGCATCCTTGTACAGCATGAAAGGATTTCCAGTCTCGGTCTGAGCCTCCAGAATAGCATACCAGAGCTTCTGGGCCTTGATAGTCTTGCGGCCACGACCCTCCTTTTCGTATCTACGCTCTTGTCAGTACGGGCTTCTGATTTGGAATTGAAAAGGAGTAGAACTAACCTTTCATAGAGCGCCTCGAATTCATCACCATAAACATCGGCCAAGCCAGGGGCCTCGTTAGGACAGAAGAGAGTCCACTCACCATTGGCCTCAACTCGCTTCATGAACAAGTCCGGAGTCCAGAGGGCATAGAAGAGATCGCGGGCTCTCACTTCCTCCTTACCGTGGTTCTTGCGGAGGTCCAGGAACTCGAAAACATCGGCGTGCCAAGGCTCCAAGTAGATGGCAAAAGCACCTGGACGCTTGTTTCCTCCCTGGTCCACATATCTGGCAGTGTTGTTGAACACCCGGAGCATAGGAACAATACCATTGGAGGAACCGTTGGTACCACCAATGTAGGAGCCGGTAGCGCGGATGCGGTGCACATTAAGGCCGATTCCACCAGCGGTCTTAGAAATCAATGCACATGTCTTAAGCGTGTCATAGATACCTTCGATGCTATCCTCCTTCATATCGACAAGGAAGCATGAAGCAAGCTGAGGCTGAGGGGTACCAGCATTGAACAAAGTCGGAGAGGCATGGGTGAAATACTTCTGAGACATCAAGTGATAGGTCTCGATAGCCTTCTCAATGTCATTACCATGAATACCAACAGAAACACGCATCAAAAGGTGCTGAGGGCGTTCAGCAACCTTTCCATCGATCCGCAGCAAATATGACCGCTCAAGAGTCTTGAAGCCGAAGAAGTTGTAGTTGAAATCGCGGTCGTACACAATAGCTGAGTTGAGTTCGTCGGCATGTCTCATTACTATCTCGTACGTTTCCTTTGATATCATAGGGGCAGGATTCTTATTCTTTGGGTTGACGTAATGGTATAGGTCTGAGATAACCAGGGAGAATTGCTTCTTTGTTTGCTTGTGAAGGTTCGACACAGCTATACGAGCAGCAAGAATGGCGTAGTCTGGATGTGTGGTAGTCATGTATGCCGCAGTCTCAGCAGCCTACACAAGCCCATCAGTATATCGCATCGGTTTATCTGCGGAGCTGCGGAGCCATACCAAGTTATCAAGTTCAACAGTGGTGACACCCTGGTAGACACCAGAGATGACCTTCTGAGTGATAGCAGCAGCGTCAACATGCTCGGGGTCAAGACCATAACATAGCCTCGATACACGAGCAGTAATCTTGTCAAACTGCACGCGTTCTTTGCGTCCGTCTAATAATCGCAGTTTGTTAGCAGATGTTGAAGTTGGTGGCAAAGGTTCGGATGAAACAGGACTAAAGCCCCATTTGGGGGCATAGCACAGGCTTAGATCCGAACCTAGGAGGATAGAAGGGACATCAACGCGTACCTCTCTTGTAGACAAACATTTTGACGTGTAGAGGGGAGAGCTCGGAAGATGCGTGAAGAAGACGATAAGAAACAGGGTATAATAGTATTAGTGAACGGATGAAGTACTAAGGCTCTGGAATGAGAAAAGCAAAGGCAAAGTCGTTTTTAAGATAAGAAGGGAAGCCCTGAGGACTGAAGTGAAGAGGGGATGAGAAGAAGAAAAGAAGTAAGAGGGGCAGAGAGTCCAACAGATATTTGATGTTGCCGGGACCAACAACGCGTTGACGGTGGATATCAACGCGAATTTTCGTGTTTGGACCAAGTAAATGGGTCTCCCTTACTTAAGCATCGAACCCCGAAGAACCCGCCCTCTCACGTGATCGTGATGCTTTCGTCACGCCACGCGAATGACGAACTTCCGATCTCGCTATGGTACGGATCTACGAATATGCGGTGCTCTTAGGTATACTCTTTTCAAACCTTATAACTGACGTTAGATCTATGGTCTATCAATTTGGTTAGGCGGAATCTGAAATCTAGAGTCGGATCAAGGGTCACACAATAGTTACAAGAAGGTTGATTTTCTTACTATCTGTCGGGAAGGAGCATACAGCCTCCTTCTAGTTATTGCAACGCACCCTTACATGACGGAGATTGGCCTCAATATACAATTGTCACAAATGATGGAACAAGAATGGAATCAAGTCGTTCCACCAGATACCCGGTACTCACTGCGCAGCTGAGTAGAACGATTCGAAGGTTGATCACCCTTACAGCGTAGCGGCGAAGCCGACAAAGACAACTGCAGCAAAGGCAGCAGCGGGAATATGCCTATCAGACGAGCCAGCATTGGAGGTATGAAGAGGTACTCCAGAAGAAGAGGTCGAGCTGGGGTTAGTTCCAGAGCCGGAGCCGGAGCCAGAGCCAGAGTTAGAACTAGAATCAGAGCCGGAGGTAGGGGAACTAGAGCTGGAGTCGGAGCCGGAAGTGCTGGTAGCGGTAGCAGTGACAAAGCCGGAGCTGCTCGACTTGGAACCGGCAGTAGAAGTACCGGTGGAAGAGGCGCCCGAGGAGGTCGAGGTATTAACGACTGGGGAAGAGATGTTAGCTCATATGAATCATGTCCTCAGTATCAGCAGTCTACCATGTACATACCGACTTTGTGTCCAGCAGAGGAGCAGGTGTCAGCGAACTGCTTCAGAGCGTCCTGCTTGTCATCACCGCTGCACAGGCTCTCGATTCTGGTCTGCACTTTATCAACACAGACGGCTTTGAGATCACCGGGGCTTGGCTCAGTGCTAATCGACTTGTCAGAAATGAACATTTTCCAGTTACTAGTATAAGCGTACCTGAGAGCCTCAAGAAGGCAAGACTTAGTGCCTGCCGCGGCGGCAATGTTGCCGAGGGCCAAAAAGGACAAGACAAAAGCAGACTTGGCGAAAAACATGACGGCGGAACAAAGTAGACGTTTAGGGGTACGGGTTGTAATTGAACTGTCGAGTTTGGGGTGCGGCTGTGTAAAAACAAAAAGACTGACTAGAATAAGTTCGAAGCTAAAGAATGGACGGGAGGTTAAAAAGGAGTGACAGCTTGCGATAAAGAGTGACAAGCAAAGCGATGGAAAGAATGGAATGATAGATGATCTTGAGTTCGAGCAGCGGAATGGAAATTTAATGGAAGAAGAGAAAGTGAAGAGGGGACCTGTCTCACCCAATCAGGCATCGACCCTGCCGATCCTTTTCCTGGCCCTGAGATCATGTCTGGGACTCTGGGGTGGTTCTCATTTCCAATCGTTCCCTTGCAAATTTTACTGCACGGAACTATCTATTTTAAGTGGGTCCCCTTATTGTTTTTGTGGTTAAGTATCGGGACTCGATTGGTGGAGCTTCCCGGCAGTACTGCCATCCGTTGTAACGCATGTAATCTCAAAACGTCTTCCCTCTGTATTACTACTACTTAATGCCCAAGTCTAGAACATTAGATTATGTCCCTTACCACTTGAAGTAGTACTAGTCGTCGTCCCTAGAAATTCGGTGAAAATTCAATGCTGCAAGTAAAAGATTAGGAGAATGGTGGTGTAAATATATACCAAATGCGACTCCCTAAAGGACAGCCTGTGGGGAATACTATGTACTATGTATATACATACATTCTGCATCTCTTTAAGCTAAATTGATGGGTTATCAATGCCAAGATAATCAAGTAACATTGTCTCAGTCCTTTTATTATCCTAAATTTATCCAACAGCTAGCAATAAGCTAAAGTAATAAGTGGCCAGACTCCCTATGCGTCTAATTATAGTATACCCACTATGTGTAATGTTCTCTATCCCCCTTCCATGAGGTTTTCTTTAAGAATCAGAAACAAAAGGGAACGCTGTAAGATGAGTTATGCTTCAGTCAACCATATATCCCTCATACCGCACCGAAAATACACCCAAGACCCATCAGTCACCGGTCCCAATTAGGGTCATAACGACTTGTAATTATCTCCTGAACGGGCAACCTATAGTCCACGATTTCCCGGCCATTTACAAGGTCATTTTCTGTCGCTCGTTTATCTGCCTCGGCTTCATCCTTTGCGATACCCGCCTTGACGTGCCTCCGAACCAACCTCTTTCGAGCGGTTTCGAATTTAACATCCACAAACCAAAGCTCATCCATCAGTTGCGCCGCCTTATTCCACGGCTCTTTATTTAAACTCAGGTAATTCCCCTCGAAGAAAATAACCCTACACGTGGCGGGGATGGCAATATCATCATCGACAGGATCTTTAACTGCATGATCAAAGCTTGGCGCGTACAAGCTTTGGGTCTCCAGCGTCAACTGCTCCCGCAGAGCCTGGACTAGTTTCAAAAACTTCTCCCCGTCAAAGGTGAAAGCTGCACCCCGTCGCGCAGCAGCATACACCGGGTCGGGCATTTGAGCGAGTTGCGCCCGTGTAAGATGATACCCATCCATAGGGATAGCAGTCGCGATAGGCGGTGAATTGGGATGCTGTGCCGTGTAGAGTTGGTTGATGCGGTTTGCCATCATGCTGGCAAGTGCTGTCTTTCCGGAGCCCGGTATGCCACTCACTGCTATCATCAACCGGGAATCGTCTGGCGTAGATCGGGTTTTATCTTAAGAAGAGCCATTAGTAATCCATTGGTGTAAGAATTTTTTTTTTTTCGATCATCGAAAGTTCAAGGTTAGACGTTCTTGCTGTGCAATATGCGTCATGCCGAGCGACTTACCCCAGATCTTATCGACTAGTCTGTCTACCTGGATATCCATGGTTGCCTTTATATCTATAGATCCAGAGTGGATTTTGGGGTGAAGGGAAGATACTAGTAGTATAGAAATCAATACAGATACCCCGGGTCGTGGCTCATGCAGATAAACGTTGCAACGTACTTCAGCAAGGACGCGAGATAACGAGGAGGCTAATTCATTCAAAACAGATCCAGGGCCTTCAAAGGTAATCCTTGGGATCAATGTGTGAATAACTCAATGCAAAACGGCAATACTAGTTGATGTGACGGACAAAGAAAAGCTCGGTGGTCCATTGAGATAAACAGAGGCAGTCGGCGGGGCTTGTCATCGGAGTGGGGTTTTGCGATCTGTACGGAGAGGTTAGCATCATAGGTAACTTACGCACATACCGGCCCTACGTCACAGGGGTCGTTTTCCCCATCCCGAGTCACAAGGTTACAACAGGTACGTAAGGTAAACAGGCACCACTACCATTTCCAGTACCATGTTTATCTCAGGCACAAAACAATACCTTTGTCAAACCTAGATCAAGCTTCAGAAACAACCCAGTTACTTTCTACATCTTAAAACGACAGCCTTGTCGAATTCTAGTTCATGCCATGATCAGCGTTGCCCACTGTTCAATAACTTCTGACTGAAGCTGTATAACCTGGAAGTGCAGGCTATGTACCATGTATGCAGAATGTCAGACAATGAGAATTATAGACAAACGCCCCCGTAAGTTGCCCGTAGATCTTGCTTCCATCCTGATGCCAAGAAACAAAAGGCTGCTGAACTTCAAAAATCGAAAGAAACATAACCCAAATAAATATAGAGACCCGAACAGATATAGGGGAATAAACAAATGATGATCCCATGATAAGTGCTTCCAGCCACTGTAAGGCAACCCGCAAACTGTGTATTTTGGAAGAAAACACCATGAACGCCGAACGTTATATCCTTCCCGCTTAACCCATTTACATCGACATGACTGCCCCTAACAAAATGGAAGGGATGAAAGGCTCAATAATTAACACAGAATCAGAAAGAAAGAAAATATATAAGGTCTTCACTGCTGCTGTCTGGACGGCCCATCAACTGCATCAGAATTGCTGGTACCGTCGTTTGCGCTGACCCCTTGGCCGATGGTACGAGACAGTCCAGCTGCTGTCCACAAGTCATCAGGGACATCCTCTCGACGGGCAAGCCGGTCCAAGATAGCTTGCATATGTTGAAGGTCCGGGTCTATGGAGTTGGAAATCGCTAATGAGATCGCAGGAAGCGGAGGTTGGCTACTCATAGTCGAATGTGCATTACGTGCACGCCTCCTGGCATCCCTCCTGGCGTTAATTTCGCGTATTCGGCGATAGTGGTAATGGAACAATGAGTTCTGGGTGGCCTCTGCCTCAGAGTCGGAGTCGGAGTCAGTTGAAGTGGAATAGTCACACGGATTGAGAAACTCCGGATAAGGGTCGAGAACCATCTGTACGGTTGCGGCAGTTGAGTCCATGGAATTTGGTAGTGTTCCAAAAGAAGTTGCCGAGCTTCGTGCCGTTCCATTCATTGAAGCGTTTGTGCCCGCAGACGCTGATGTGAACGAGGAGTCCGCGCTAGGAAGATTGGTGTCTGGCGTGATAGTAGTCAAGAGTGTTTCCCAAGCATCGTTCGCATTGTCACCATCTGGGCTTACACTCCGCTGGCGATCTCCAAGGCCGTCGACGACAGTCTGGGAGTTTGAGCGGCTTTGTTGATTAATAGACCGCTGACCAACCCGCCGTAACAGTGGAATAGTCGAACCAATCGAGGCATCTCCACCAAAGGCTTCCGACCGAGGAAATGGCGCCAAACGGACGTCGGGAGGCGCCTGGGGAGATGCGGTCCTGTGATACGCAATTGCCGGGGCGAATCGAGGAGTAAAGGATGGCGGCGGGTGATCTTGTTCCTGTCGAGCACCCCCATGGTCACCAGCCGCTGCGCGCAAGTATATGTCGTCTAGCACAGTATTACGCGGTATCCTCAATCTCTGGCCTGGACGACTGTGACGAAGAACATCGTTGAGTAGGCGCTGGCCTGCTTCTCGTGCGCTGGAATCCGACAGACCGTTGGTCAGATCGAATGGATCTTCACCAGAGCCGGAATTCGGGATAGGAGAGCGTACATGGCGCGAGAGTCCATTAGCTTCACGTTCAATCTCGTTCGCTAGCGGACGGGGGAAAGGCGAGCGCAAAGTCGCGCTGCGCAAAGCGGAGCTACTGTAACGTGAAGGGCGCCGGATAGTGGTCTGGCGACGAATTGCAGAACGTGCGGCGGCACAAGGGTCTTTGACAGGATTGTTCTTTGCAGCCTCTGTGGATGAAGGCTCACGATACATACTGCAATTATGTTAGTCATGATCGCTGTACGTGCACGATGAGTACCGCGTAAAGACCCGAATAAGGCCAAGTACAGATACAGAACTGGACAAACTTACGGTATACCCATGACTACAAAAGACCTAAGACTTTATTGTACGAAGATTAGTGTCAAATATACCCTCTAGAAGAGACACCACGCCAAGACCACGATAAGAGTGTCGCGAAATTGAAAGAAAGAAAGTGCGACGATTGCGGAGAGGGTGCGACGAAGCGTTGTGTTGATGGAGAAACGGGGAGATTTGGTTTTCCTTGCAAGGGTAAAAAGCGGAGGCAAAGGGATTTGCCTTAGGCCGTCTGGCGCGCTTCGAGAGAGAGGCTGGGATGTGGCGCCACTAGTGGCGCCAATACCCATCTGCGTACAATCCAGTACGGTCCGCCTCGGAGTTCGAGAAAAGTTTCCCGTTTCCCGGCTTAAAACGCCGCTCTTATCTCAACGAAAATCCGATAGATAACCGCGCGAAATGACGCCGAGTGATTTTTATAGAAGAACTATGCAATTTTCAACTCCTCCCAACTAGCAACCACACAGATGTCGTCCTTCTCAGAGAGATACTCCTGATCATGAGATTGACCTTGACTAGCTGCCAGAAAACATATAATCGGAGGAATGATCGAGCTCGGTCTTAGTCGCATATCCCGTCTCCTTCAGCAGACGCCTTTGACCTGGAAGGCCATCCACATCGCTGGGACAAATGGCAAAGGCTCGATCAGCGCTTACTTGTCTCACCTATTGACTTCCGGTGGAGTTCGCTGTGGCCGCTTTACCTCACCTCACCTGATAGACCGATGGGATTGCATCACCATCGGTGAAAGCGTGGTCCAAGAGTCCTTATTCCGGCAGATTGAAGAAAAGATTAAGTTGCGGGATCAAACATTGGGCATTGGAGCAAGCGAGTTCGAGTTGTTAACCGCCACGGCATTCGAGATCTTTAATCATGAACGGGTTGATATTGGTGTGGTTGAAGTGGGCATGGGCGGTCGGTTGGACGCTACGAATATACTGAACAATGTGCTCGTATCTATCATCGCTAAAATAGGTCTGGATCACCAGTCGCTGCTTGGAGACACCCTAGAAGAGATCACTCGGGAGAAAGCCGGTATCTTGAAGCGGGGGGTTCCTTGCGTGGTCGATGGAACGAACCTACCAGCAGCCCTCTCGACTATTGAAGAGCGTATCAAGGAACTTGGCATCGATGCTATTTACACTCGCCCCGATGCGCCGGATGGGCACTCATCGGCGCTTAGTCAGCTTTTCCAGCAACATGATGTACAGCCTCACCAGCGGGCGAATATGTGTTGCGCAATCTCAGCTTTAAAGCTGGCCCTCCGGAGAGTCCGTCCAGATACCAGGGTTGATTCTTTGGTTTCTCAGCTCTCTCGTGTCGAGTGGCCAGGACGTCTACAAGAAATCGTGCTGAATCCTATGGTTGCTCGCACAGACTCTGTCCTCCTCGATGGCGCTCACAATAGCCAGTCAGCCGAAGTCCTCGGGCAATACGTGGACTGTAAGCTTCGACCTCACGGGAGTCCTGTCACCTGGGTCATCGCAGCATCACGTGGAAAAGACATAGCCTCTTTATTTCACCCTATCATCAAGGCTGGTGATAATGTTGCAACTACTGCGTTTGGGCCCGTCGACGGTATGCCCTGGGTCAAAGCAAACGATCCCCAGGAATTGGCCTCCAGTGTGCGGTCTATTTCGGCAATCGGAGATGTGGAATCATTTGATAACGACATACTTTCTGCCATCAATTGGGCCTGTAGCAAGGCCAATGGCGGTCCCATGGTTATTGCTGGAAGTCTTTACCTCGTTTCAGATGTTCTCCGTCATCTTCGAGAGGCGCAGAAACAGTCAGAAAACACCACTGAGTCGTGATAGTTTTATAACCGAAGATACCCTTTTAGCGCCCGGACTTCTCTGTACATGATTGACACAGACTCAAGGGTCTTCTTGGAATTGAGATTAAGACCATTCTCTTTCTTATATAGACAAAGTGTAATATATAAATGGCATAGCTCCTTTTTTTTTTTTCTTGTTCGTTTTCTTCTTTGTTTCAATTATTCCTGGAACAGTCGTGACAGCAGTAATAAGATAATAGCAGCATGTAAAGGACAGTGCACATTCCTCGGGGTCCGATAAGGCTGATCGGAGATACAGAGGCGGTCACTGCGTCATGGCAAACCGGTGGTGGCCTGAATTGTGGAGAAAGGGAAAGTTCAAAACACCTTCCAATTTGTTGCGTTTGGTTCACCCGACACAGCAGTATGTTATAATTTCTTTTTTTGATCACTGTTCTGAAACTTCTTGTGCAGTTATCTATCAAGTAGATTGAAAACTCCGACCTCAAAGAGAGCTGCAGGAATCTGATGTGTGCAGTGACGCGCTTGGTTCAACGCGGCTTGATGGGTGTGAGAGCAGTAATCTATCTGTACGTTTTTTTTTTTTTTTAAAGCCGTACTCATACCATCTCTTTTCTGGCATTTGGGCTTCCTTCTCCCTATTCAGATGCTTTATAAATCTGTTGTTGACTTTCACTAATGATGTGTGGTCTCAAAAGACAGGTTTTGCTGCTGATATGAACAATACTCTCCGATCGCCTGGCTCCTGCCTTCAGCCGTCCCGTTCCTCTCCTGAAACCGCAAAGTCCGAGATTACCTGTTAACATCGGTGAATCCAGACTTCATCTGACGAGGGGATTAATCTATATTGGTTTAGATGATGGTTTCTCGATGCAGTGGGGGGATTGAGGGACCCCCTCCATCTTCTAAACCACAGAGTGCTCCTGCCAAAGCACGACTGGCAAGACTCGGGTCCAGTCCATCAAAACGAGATGACAGGCCGAAAGATGAAAGAGTGGCGAAAACCACAGCCAAGGACGTTGCAGAACTGAAGGATTACGTATGGCTGTGATTCCAGACGTTTAGTGAAATGAGTTACTGACGCTGACATACGGTAGCAACTGGGTGATTGTTTGGGTAAAGGCGCATTTGGATCGGTCTACAGGGCATTGAACTGGAATACTGGGGAAACTGTTGCTGTAAAACAGATAAAATTGGCCGACCTCCCAAAGAGTGAATTGCGTGTCATTATGGTAAGATAAGAGCATCCTGGCAATGAAATAATATACGCCATTACTAATCTAAAGTCCTGCAGCTGGAAATTGATCTTCTGAAGAATTTGGATGTAAGCTTCAATTATTAAGGATACGCAGGCCTGAACCCTGGTAGAAAATTAACTCAACGACTGCAGCACTCCAACATCGTGAAGTACCATGGATTTGTAAAGTCCGCTGAAACTCTAAACATCATACTTGAGTACGTTTACCGAACCTCTACAAGCTGGGCTCCAGGGCAAGGGTTGCTGACAGACTCAGATACTGTGAAAATGGCTCCTTACATTCAATCGCAAAGAATTTTGGACGTTTCCCAGAAAACCTGGTAGGACTATACATGTCACAGGTCCTCCACGGTCTCTTGTATCTCCATGAGCAAGGTGTCATACATAGAGATATCAAAGGCGCGAATATTCTCACGACTAAACAAGGCCTTGTCAAGCTTGCGGACTTCGGTGTTGCTAGCCGGACTACTGGGCTCAATGAATCAAGTGTTGTCGGCACGCCATATTGGATGGCCCCGGAAGTGATTGAACTGTCGGGTGCAACGACAGCTTCAGACATCTGGAGTCTTGGCTGTACGGTGATTGAGCTGCTGGAAGGGAAGCCTCCTTATTACAATCTCCAGCCAATGCCGGCTCTTTTCCGCATTGTCAATGATGATCACCCTCCCCTTCCGCAGGGCGCCTCTCCGGTCTGTCCCCTGTTGTCTAAATATCGTTTCGTGTCTAACAAACACCACAGGCTGTCAAAGATTTCTTAATGCAGTGCTTCCAGAAAGACCCGAACCTTCGTGTTTCTGCGAAAAAGCTTCTGAAACATCCCTGGATTGTCAACGCCCGCAGGTCAGATTCGGTTGTTCCCAAAAAGTCAACCGAGTATGAGGAGGCAGTCAAAAGTGTCCAAGAGTGGAACGAAGCTTTGCGTTCACCCGAAGCAGGAACTTTGCGAAGACCATTTAGGCATGATTATCAAAGCCCAGCCCCTCTAACATCGTCCCGCCATACGCCCACAAAGGCGTCTCCGACTTCCAGAAATGTGGCAGATCGGTTCAGGTCGCCCGACTCCATCGAAGAAGACAATTGGGATGATGACTTTGCGACTGCAATTTCCCCTAGCGCATTACAATTACCTCACCTTCGCCCACAAGATAACTTCGGGGGGATGCTCTCTTCTGAAAAGCTTAAGGCTTTTGCGTCTTTGGATGGGACAGTCCTAAGGTCTGAAGAAAACTTTGACGATTTCGATGATTCTTTTCGAACCTCGTTACAGTCCGGAGACTCAGATCCTTTGGAAACCATACGACCTTTTCCAACCAAACAAGCTGGCAATGAAGATACACAAATGCAAAACCAACCACGTTACCCGATCAATAACAACGCCATCGCCATGCACAACGTGCCCATCCTAACACAAAACCCGGTACCTCCGATGAGACAACCCCGTCCAGCTTCTTACTACAAGGAAAACTCTGTGGAGGACTACTCCGATCTTATACAGGCGAATGAAGATGTGCTAGACCGGAAGCTTGGTCTTTTTCAGGTAAACATAATAACCGTCATTAATATCGGAGTGACATTTGAGCAAGTCCTCTCTAACCTCTTAACAGGAAACCGATGACGACATGGATGGGCTAGTATTCTCGCCCACGAACGAAGTAGTCCGATATCAACCGCCCCTTGAAGATGAGAATGATCCCCAGCCTCAGCTTAGGAAAAGGATATCTGTTAAACGCCATCGATCAGCCATAGAGATACAAAGGTTCGCCGAAAATGAAAGAGACGAAGATTTCTCTGATATCCTCGGAGCGGATCAAGTAACTCTGGACAAGTCTGAAAGCGAGGAAAGCTCAGACCAAGGCACGTTGATGCTGAATTCTAAGCTGTCAAACGATTCTTGGCTTGGGGACCAGGATGATGAGGATGATCCGTTTGCTCAGCTTGAGGAAGGGTTAGACGAATTAGACCTGGAAGCAAACATCGCACGTGATAAACATGCAAGGCTCCGCGGTCAAGTCGAGGGGCTTGTTAGCTCGTTGAAGACCTCACAGGATGAAGACGTGCTCGGCGAGATCTCCGAACAACTGCTGAATGTTTTCTATGATCTCCCGGAGACCAAGAACATCATCATCAGCGCCCATGGGATGCTACCAATACTTGAGATCCTTGACATGTGCCGTCGGCGTGACATTATTCTATGTCTATTGAGGATTGTTAACGCGATCATCTACAATGATTATGAGATACAAGAAAATCTTTGTTTCGTTGGAGGTATACCTATCATCAACGAGTTCGCCTCGAAGAAGTACCCGCGAGAGATCCGACTTGAAGCAGCAACCTTTGTACAGCAAATGTATCAAACTTCCACTCTCACTTTGCAAATGTTCGTCAGTGCAGGAGGATTGAATGTTCTAGTTGAATTCCTGGAAGATGATTACGAGGATGAGCGTGACCTAGTATTAATTGGGGTGACCGGTATCTGGAGCGTTTTTGAGTTGCAAGTATGTATCTGCATTTTCTGCTTTCTGAGAGGATGTCTGACGAATCTTTTTAGGGCTCAACGCCAAAGAATGACTTCTGTAGAATCCTGTCCCGCAACTCGGTATTGGATCCTCTATCGTTGGTCCTGAGTCGGGTATTGGACGAAGATGGGGAGCTGGCTGAGACTGTCGAAGGTCGTATTGCGAACATCTTCTTCATTTTCTCCCAGGCCGAAAATCATGTAAAAGAGATGGTTGCTGAGCGAACGGTTCTACACAGTAAGGATGACTCCCAAGTCATGTAGTTAATGATACTAACATCCTCTCTAGGGGTTCTTAAAGAACTAAAGCGCATGACTCCTGTTCACCAGATAACCATGTTGAAGTTCATCAAAAATCTGTCCATGTTATCGACCACTCTGGATGCTCTACAGAATTCGAATGCCATCGACGTGTTGACGGACTTGCTGAGGTCTACCATTAAGCGACCCCATTTCCGAGAAGTTTCCAACCAGATCCTAAATACCATCTACAATATGTGCCGCTTAAACAAACCTCGGCAGGAGGACGCGGCTCTGAATGGCATTGTGCCACTGCTGCAAAAGATAGTGAAGACTGAACGACCATTGAAGGAATTCGCACTACCAATTCTCTGCGACATGGCTCATTCCGGCAAAGTTGGCCGTCGTGAGCTGTGGCGCAACAAAGGCCTGGCATTCTATATATCTTTACTTTCCGACCCATATTGGCAAGTGACTGCTCTAGACGCTATCTTTACATGGTTAGTATTTTACCCTGGCTGTATTGGAATGAATACGCTCGAACCTAACCGTTTGATAGGCTTCAAGAGGAGACAGCGAAGGTTGAGGAGCACCTCCTCGACAACCGACCTGATAAACTATCATTTACGGATTCCATTGTTAGGTGTTTGACAATATCAAAGGCAAATGCATTTGAGAATCTCCTCGAACCCCTCCAGAAACTTCTTAGGCTGAGTCCCCCCATTGCCTCGACGCTCGCGCGACCAGACTTGTTCAACAGAATAGGACAGAAACTACATCATAATAAAGCAGCAGTGCGGTTGAATTTACTCCGGATAATTTCCAGCATCTGCGATGCGAGCGAAGAGCAGGGTGGTCTTCTCGCCAGATATGGACTGCTGGATGCGATCAGGGAGTTAGAGAACGATCCTGCCATTCTCGTCAGGGATATGGCTGGAAAATTAATTCAGTCCAACGAGAGAAGCGAGGCCTATAGCCTGGGTAAACGCAAACCTGGTGTACGACGGCGAAGTACGTCCACTACACCTCCCAGTCTATTAGCGAACCAGTCTGCCCCGTCCACGCCACAGATCAACCGGGGTAGTCAGTCCAAAGGGTTCTTTGAAGGCCGGGAGAGCCAACGGCACCCCCGAAATGCCCTGAGTGGCTCTGCCCTTGTGATGCGACCTGGAAGTAGAGATGGAGTCACCCCGGGTCTTGCAGCCGGCTTGAATGGGAACCCTGGTGTGTCAAGGAACAGGGTCCCGCGGGTGTCTAACAGACTATCTCATGTCGACCTTCTGGCTGAAGAAGATGGTCGAAGACCAAGTTCGGCATCCCGTCGGCCTTCAATCTTACCTCGACGTCGACATACAACACAGACAGATGCCGAGTGGACGCCATGAGCTTGAGACATAAGGCTGACCTGTGTAACACTTTCTCTTTCCCGAATTTTCGTGCTTATTTTGCTTAGTCCTCGGGGTTTGCGGATTCTCAAACGCTAAAAAGTTTACGGTATATTGGGTCTTCATAGGCAAGCATTGCATAGGATGGCGCATTGGAGTTCTTCCTTTGTTGGTCTAGAGCTTGTCTCACACAGACAGCTTCTTTGTTTGGGCTATAGCAGATGCAAGGGTATCGTTCGGATCGTGGTTCCTGTACCAATGCATAGCAGTTCAGGAAGATGGTCCGACCTGCTGCTTGACTGGTCCATGTAGATACTTAGTGCAGTGATGACTATCTCCTGCGGTCATGAGTAGGAGTACATGATAATTTGAAAGGATATAGTGAATTCAGCCTCGGGAGCCAGCAATCAAGCGAAAAGATTGGTTTAATCTGCGATAGTCGGAGTACTTCGGGACGAGAGCTAAAAGCGGCAAGCGGCGAGTCCGACGGGGTGGAGCAGATTAATTATTCTACGGGATTTCAAGTCCTTCTTCCCCGTGGCGCCTCCCCGACGCAAATGGCCTGACACTATACGGAGTACCGTTGAGACTATTACCAAATTCCACTATCCCTCCCGATTTGCGGTCGCTCTTCATACGGCATTGCTTGTGTACGGTATGAGGGCGGCGCTCCGCGCTCCGCTGCGGGCATCCGATTTTGATCCTGCGCCGGTGCTCCGATATACCTCGTCTGCTCCTTGGATTCGCCCTTTCCAGCGCGCATCGGGTCGCTCGTCTGTTCACAGATCAATATCCAACTCAGCACGAGTCTTTAGCAAGAGCCGCCAACTACACCCACGAGGACCGTGGGTAGCGTCAATACCACACGCTTCTTATTCAACCAAGGCCGCCTTGTTTGGTGCGGCGGAGAAGGCGAACGGCAATGGCAGGAAACCATCGGGGTCGGAATGGTCACGGAGGAAAGTGATCACGTATACGGTCGTTGGGGGAGCTATAGTCATCGGGGTGGTGACATTTTCTGACAATGTTCAACATCTCTATCGTGCTGCGGCGAGAACTGGAAGGGTCGTTGGCACATTAGCCGTGTGCATCAATGAGTAAGTTTGACATATGCACCTCATACAGATGTATTTCAGTCAGTTATACTCATACCAATGTTTTAAGCTATCGAGTAACCCTCAACCGAGAAACATCCTCACCCGAAGAGCGAAACGAAGAACTCCGAGCATGTCACAAGCGTTGCGCAGAGCGGACCCTGAGGGTTCTCGAGAAGAACGGCTCCATTTTTATTAAGCTGGGGCAACATCTCAGTAGTATGGGTTACTTGCTGCCATTGGAATGGACGACAACATTCATTCCGCTTCAGGATAAATGCCCTATCTCTTCGATCGAATCAATCGAGGAAATGTTCGTCGCCGACACCGGCCGTCGAATCGACGAACTCTTCTCAAGTTTCGACCCGGAACCAATTGGCGCCGCTTCCCTTGCCCAAGTTCACATCGGTATCTTGAAGGAAACAGGTCAGAAGGTTGCAGTCAAGGTGCAGCATCCAGCGTTGGCAGAATGGGTCCCCTTGGATCTGGCGTTGACCAGATTCACCTTCTCCACCCTGAAGCGCTTCTTCCCTGAGTACGATTTGGAGTGGCTTTCGAAGGAAATGGATCTATCCTTGCCACAAGAACTAGATTTTAGGATGGAAGCGGACAATGCTAGGAGGGCTAGCGAGTACTTCAAGGAACATTCAGATGCGCCGCTTGTCATTCCAGAGGGTACGTACTGACTCCATTTTAGACATGGTTGCTGTATACTAACAGGCATAGTTATGTGGGCTCAGAAGCGCATACTCGTCATGGAGTTCTTGTCCGGCCGTCGACCGGACGATTTGGAGTTCCTGGATTCCAATAACATCGATCGTGACGAAGTCTCCGCGGCCCTAGCGCATATCTTCAACGAGATGATTTTTGGCGACAATGCTCCTTTGCACTGCGATCCTCATGGTGGCAATATTGCGATCCGCAAAAACCCTAACCGGCGCAGTCAAAACTTCGACATCATCCTCTACGACCATGGATTGTACCGTGATATCCCCCGTGATTTACGTCGCAACTACGCCAAGCTGTGGTTAGCCGTCATCGAAGCTGACGAGGCACACATGCGCGAGTATTCTCGCAAGGTGGCGGGCATCACGGATGAGCAGTTCCCTCTCTTCGCCAGCGCAATCACCGGTAGAGACTACACCAAGTTGGCCAAGAAGAACATCGCCACCACACGCACAGCTGCAGAGAAGGAGAGCATGTCCGGCGCTCTTGGAGAGGGCATGTTGCAGCAGCTGGTCGAACTGCTGGGCCAGGTACCCAGAATTATACTCTTGATTCTTAAGACCAATGACCTCAGTAAGTGCACTATTGCCGCTTGCCCGAGTACAGTGGTAAACTAACCACCCGCATAGCCCGCAGTCTTGATGAAAACCTCCACACCAGACAAGGCCCCGTCCGCACTTTCTTGATCCTCGCCCGCTACGCCACTCGGACCGTCTTCGAAGAACAAATGGACCTCATCCACGAAACAGGCGGCCTTCTCCGCCCCTTCAACTTCTTTCGCTTCCTCGCTGCTTGGACCGGGTTCCTCCGCGTCGAGCTCAAGTTATCGGTCTACGAGACATTGCTGTCCCTGAAGAGTCGACTCGGACTCCTCTAGTGAACCGGTTTAGATCATCTCTTCTGGATACGTTGCCAGAAGTAGCAACCCCTGTAAATTGTTATTTTAGATCTCTTCTTCCATCTTCTCCCATGAAGCCATTTCCCACTTGGTTAATGATCGATAGATGAGCACGGGTTGGCTTATTTGCATCAACGGCGTTTCTTTTCTAATCATGTTTCATAATTGCGGGGCTAATGAGTGTCGATACTTTTTTGGTTTTCCTTTTCTTCTTCGTTTGGCTTGTTTTGTTAAGAGGACGAAAAGTTCTTATTCTTTGTTTCCTTGTAAACATGTGTATATCAATAGAGGTCTCTCCTGAGCGGATGAATATAGATTGTCAAAGTTCAAAGAAACCCAGTTCCTCGATAGATTCTACCTAGATTATCCAGGGAAACATGAATCAACAAGAGTAGCGATCCGAATTCACTGCACGCAAGTGCTTTTCATTAGACTATTTGACACATCAAGTGGACTATATCACAATGCCTTCCTGCGTTATCACGAAAAAGGGAGGGAAAAAAAAAGAGAAAGGAAAACATTTGTGATGAAGAAAAAAGTAACCTTGCAGTAAGACTGTACCGAATGCAGTCTGTTGCCGGAATGAAACGAACTGTCCAAGCGCGCTATTCCATTCTAAAAGGTATTTTCAACCCCGCTAATAAACCGTAAAACTGTTCAGGGAATCTCATCTGGTATCAACTCGAATTTTTTGTTGGTTTCAATTTTTCTTTTTTTGTGATTTGGTTGTTGTGCTTATTAATTCGTTAAGCAGTAGCAGCGGCACCCTCGGACTTCTCAATCTCGACCTTGACGTTAGGGATAGAGGCACCGGTACCTCCAAGGTCGGTTGTACGAGCCTTAGGGTTCTTAGTGTAGTAGTTGGAGATCGCCGACTTAATGGCATCCTCAGCAAGCATCGAGCAGTGCAACTTCACGGGGGGCACTATGTTTGGTCAGTAGAGTTTCTTTCAGCAGCTAACGTGCGATTGTTTAGGTGTTGTTGGGTAAAAATGAGCGATAAGCCAGTCAATATAACAATGGTGCAAGGTGGAGACTGCGACCCGGTTGAGGAACACATTGTGGGACATGTTTCAAGAAAAGCCGGTCCAGCTTTCTTCGAGAATCAATAATACCCCAAGGCTCCGTGTCCTTCAAGACCGGTAGTTTCGCACATTGGTAGCGGAACCTTAGCAGTCGACCATCTACCCAAGATCCGCGTACACATGTACGAAATTCCACCAAATCAACCCATATAAGTGCAATGGCTAGCTTGCAAGGTTCGGCGTTGGGGCACAATAAACAAACATATATTTGGGGAAACGCATTCCAAGGCAGGATAATTTAAGGCGAGGGAGAAGAACGACTGATAACTTACAGCCTGGAGCGTGATGTTAGCAAATGTAAGATGAATAATAATATATGCTTCCCCTCGGAAAAACTTACAAAGTTCACGAGCAATTTCAGTATTCTTAATCTTTCCGGCCTCCTCGAGAGTCATACCGCGCACCAACTCTGTCAGGTAACTCGAACTAGCAATAGCACTGCCACAGCCAAAAGTCTTGAACCTGACATCGCTGATCACATTCGTATCCTTGTCAACACGAATCTGGAGTTTCATGACATCACCACAAGCGGGGGCGCCAACAAGACCAGTGGCAACGTCGGCATCGTTCTTGTTGAAACTGCCAACTTTAGGGCCGTTAGCCTCACTCATGTCGGAACTACTGTGATAAAAAAAAAAAAAAAAAAACCAAAAAGAAGAAGCAGAAGCATAGAAAAGACAAGTGGGTAACAGTCGGGTGCGTCGGGAAAGAAGATATGTTGAGTGCATGTGCATCCCAGTCCATCAAGAGCCGGATAACTTCTGATATGTGGGAGTAGACGTACCATTACGCGGGTTGTTATAGTGATCTAACAGTGCATGCGGTCAGTTTCGTTGTCACCTTTTACAAAACAAAATACTTATCTTTCTCGTGATATCCTCTCTTCGTCGCAGGGGCCCGGAGAATAGGCTGGCTTTGAATGCCGGAAAGAGCCGGGGTAATGCGAGGCGACACGACGGTGCCAACCCGGGGAGCGACAGTTACCAGGCGTCTGAACATTTCTGAATGTGTATAACCAATTGCTCGGAGTGGTAAAAAGCGAATCTGACAATTATGTGGAATGACCACTGGTTGTGGGGGATGAAGAATCGATGACCGAGGTAGTGATGGATGATTGAAGAAAGATTGATGGAACTTAACTGATTGATTAATATGATAAAATGGGCGATGACAAACCCGGCCTAATTCACTGGCACTAGTCCCCTTTCAGCAACCCCGTCGCCTTCATAGGTCCGGCCTCGGACATGACGTTACCCCCGAGTCGCCATAACCGAATGGTTGAAGGATTGGTTATCTGATTGAGAGGCCCAGCAAATGACCTTGCCTCATGATGATAGCATCGATGCAAGTGGTTGATCGTTCAAGTCATTTCCCACGGGAAACCGCAGAGAGTTCCACCAGTGGGAGAACCGGCGGGATGCGTTCGTTCTAGTTCGTTTCTAGTATAGAATCCCGGTTTAGTAACGGTATTAGTCTCTCAATGGCCAACGAGGGTCTCGTACAGTCGGAATTACCAAGCGAACAGAACACACCCTTTACCGGGCGCGTTGGTGTAATTAATGTTCTTATCTTTGGGGATTTTGCCGCCCTCCATCTGATAAAACCTTCCTCATTCGGTTAGGGAACAACTATCCCCCGACCATATCAGCTGATATCAAACTTCCCTTTGTTTTTGAACCCCCAGGCGATAATTTGCGTTATGTACATTTAGGATATAAGAAGCGACAAAATGGCAGGGAAAATATTTGGTCGATCGTCGGGGGTAAGTTTGATCTTATTCTTCAGTGGTAATGTAAAGGAAGCATAAACACCTAGCCTCCTTATCGGCAGTAGTATCATTACCACCGTAGGTATTATTTCATAATTAACCTCATCAGTCTGTCAATGCCCCAATAGCTGCCTTTTCCATGGCTCTGATCCTCACCTCCTACTGCGTCAGTTCCATCCGTACCGCGCGCCGTGAAGCGCAGGCTCCAAGCACCACTACGCGTCAGAAGCCCGCAGGAGAGAAGACGGAGCAAATGTCATGGGTTCAGCAGGCATTGGACCAAAGTCGCGAAGCTGAACGGAAAGTTTCTAAGTAACGAATGTTGTACCGTACGATCAATAGAGTTGGAGTCAGGGCGTAATACTACAGGCTGAAGGGGTACGTATATTGCATCTGCATCAATGTTTCTCTCATTGGTTTTAGCATTTGCTAACTAAGCTATTCTATTGTTTGAGTTGAGACTATAGGGTATACTAGTGAAAGGTTAGCAGATGTACAGCCAAGTGCTAAGTCAGATTTCGCAGTGATGTCCATGATCAGAATTTTCAGTGTATGAAATAGTCCTTTCCAGAGTGTTAACTGGATCTACCATTTAGAAAGAATTCATCATATCAACGGATAGCAACAACTGCCTTGAATCCCTCCCAAGCATTATGGAGGACGAGTAAAGAAATGCGAATAGGGTTAAACATTACCTATTAAGGTTTTCGATGTTTAGACGTGGTTAACTGAGGAAGAAGGCGACTGTGGGAGACGTAAAAGAAAAGTAGGTAGATCGTTTAACTGCGGCTAGTCCTATTCGGGGGGCAGTACTTTTATGACTAAGCATTTCTCTTGGTCATAGGTCGCTCTATAGAAGTTCCTAATTGGGAAATTATATCCAGTCTCATACGTACCTCCGTTTCCATAAGTACCCTAAGGTGTCTTAGTCCTGTTTGACCAGAAACAGTTGCGTCTCAGTAATAGTATAGTTTAAGGCTACAGCAAGATGTGACTCGTTCGGAATTTGCTGGCACTATATGGGGGACAAGAATGGTTCATGAGCAAGAGTAAACAATTATATATCCAGGTACGCATGTTTCTCCATTCATTTCCATGAGCCACCCAAAGCATCTCTTGAAAACAGGTAGTAGAGTCTCCCGCTTCATATATTATACCGACACACTGACCTATTTAAAGACGATTGGATAGAGATTTAGAATCAAGCACCCCCAAAAAAAAAGGAAGTCTGATAAGCTAGTTCATTGTGCGAAAGGGGCGCTTAGAATACCTAGGGAAGGGCTTTGCAAAGGGCCAGCCAGTGCCCATCCCAGTGCAATAGACTGACGAGACCGTGTAACATCATTCATATCGATGATATAGAATAAGAGGAGCAAAAAAGAGACTGCATCATCCGTGAATCGAACACGGGCCTCATCGATGGCAACGATGAATTCTACCACTAGACCAATGATGCTTGGCAAGAACCAGCACGTAACTTGGTTAATTGCTTGGCAGATAATTACTTTTTATATGTTATGACCCTAGCTCAAAGTCTCAAACTCAAAAGCTCTAGTACGTCCATGAGATTGTATAGATGTACTAGAATCGCAGAATCCAAGACTTGTGCGTTAAGCTATACTGCTTGTTTTCTGTTCCATGAAGCCGAACATAATCGTGCTTTCCGAACGTAATTGATTGTTGTGCATGGTACTCTGATGCATGTATGTAAAGGTTGATCTATATTTAAGCTACCAGGTAGATCACATGGTTGGCCTCAACCATGGATGTCTTCTGTAGTCATTTTATCTCAAGTACCTCGCTTCACTCGGTATATGTGTATTCTGGCGATGAAACACGTAGGTATAGTAACGTATGTACAAGAGCAGTCATGCAAGTATTATGCGAAAAGTAACCGAACGCTCGTGAATAAACAAAAAAAGGAGAAGAAAAGAAGAAGAGGTCTTTCATCAAACACAAACCGGTCATAAGACTGTAGAGTTCAGGAAATCGATTCTTCACATGCCAAAACCTCGATCTACCCTAACACCCTTGAAACCGACTACCACCGATGCCGAGGGACATATTCAAAGGAAAGACCCTTTACTTTCATGTATCGGGTAAAACTTGTAGGAAAAAAAAGAAGCCTAAGACAGTCCCTTGCTGTATCCGCTCTGGCAACAAAGCCAAGACGCCAGTGCGCATACAATTAGCTTCCCTGGCAATAACATTGAGGTTCACAATAGCCTGCAATGCCCCGGATTAACTAATGGTTGGACACTCAGTCATCATCATATACCGGCCGAGTCTTCGGCTGCTTCTGCCACCTGCTGCTTCAATGCCCCTTCGTGTTGAAGGTGGCTAATGGTTTTCCGTAGATATTCATATGTAAGCATGGTGGTCATTGCAGCCGGAACAGCACGGAATAAATTCGTGCCTATTCCCGAGTAGAATGCTCGCCAACCCTCTTCTTTCAAGATAGTCTGACACGTACGAACGATCCCTGTATACCGAGGCCGGTTAGGCATGCCATCCGATGAGGCCGCTGTTGGAGGCCTACCACGGCTCTCTGGGTGGTCTACTCCCCCGCGGAAGGCTATCTCTTCCGGCGAAGACACAGGAGACGTTCTCTGCTGGGTTTGAAGTCTCGTGCGCAATACCTCATGCGGATAGGTCACAGTGCTCGCACAGATCTTACTGAGGAATGTCGCCAACGATATCCCAATCCAGTGAGAAGTACCGTTGTCAGGATGTTCCCCGATTCCGTACCCAGTAAATGCCATTTTCAAATATTCATAAAGCGGGAATTGTATGGCAACGTGTGTCAATCCCAACAATGCCGGTGTGAGCCCCGCGTAAAATGACCGAATTCCTTCGGTCTTATACATCTTGCGAGCTGCATCCCACGTGCCGGAGTATCGCCATGGAGCACGGAAGCCCTCGCTGTCTGATCTGAGGCTTTGTGACATGAGTCGCGTTTTGATGACCCAAATCGGATTAGTCACAATTGTAGAGCAAGCGCCAGCCGTTAGAGAAGCATAACCTCTTGCAAGCCACCAACTATCTGCTCAGAGCTTCAGTAAAACGAAATTCCCAAGTTAGAAGAAAAAGGAAACAAACCAGTCACTTCATGATAATATTCCCGAGACCTATCATAAACTGCCAAATAAACAGCCCATGTAGGCAAATATCCCAAAATCATGGGGCCTAAACCTTGATATAGTCCTCGAATACCATCTTCACGCCATATCATCCTTCCAGTACCTAGCATACCTCGGTATAAAGCTTTCGTTTCAACCACCTGTCCACCTCTCCGGACAAACCCTCCTTGGGCTTGCAACTTGGTTTTGATCACATCGAGAGGGCATGTTACAATACCCGACGCTACACCCGCACTGGCACCACAAAATGGGGCAATATAGAAATCTGGAACGCGCGTAGAGAATAGTTCGAGGCGAGTGATGAGCGCAGAACTCGGCGGGCCTGTAGCGGAAGACGCATCGAAGCTGGGGGTGGCAGGGCCATCTGAATGTGTAATCTGCTGCTCTTGGGAGCCGTTGGCTGTCGCCGAAGTGCCGTGTTCTTCTGAAAACATCCTTCTAGCCAGCGCCCAAGCAGTCTATCTATCCGTCTTAATTGTCACGAGGGCTCCCGGACCCGAGCATAGCGGTGCTCGCTCCGGAACCCAGAATGGTTGGTTGTCCTGCGGAGTGGGAACGTTTTCCGTCTTTTGCAGCGAGAGTTGGTATGACAGTGCCTGGTCCAATGAATTGAGGGGGTCTTGTTAAACGACTCGATGCTGAGAAATCCACCTTATGATTGAGCGTGCCCTATCCGAAGCACAGACAGGTGGGGTCTTTGAAGCTACTCAGCTCCCCTACAGGACCACAGAATGAATTTAACGGTTGATGAGCCCCATAACCAATTATCAGAGAATAGGAATGATCAGTAGGGTGACAAATCTCGAGGGGGAAATGAGTCAATCGAGATTTTCGGAACCGCGGCGAGGGCGGAGCAGTACGGAGAATGGTGAGTGAGGTGAATCGAAGGACCGTCCTCTGTCGGTCAGGTGGAGTACTATTAAGTTCACCCCGGTCCCAAGCGCTATGCAGTCTGAGGCAAGCCGAGAATTAGTCACGTGTGGAATGATCGGAAGCGTCAAGGTTGAGTTTATTGCCTCAGGCATCAAACATCGGATGTTTTTGGGAAAGTCACCCGCCGAACCTCCGTTTTGCACAATCTCCAACGTCGGGCCAACTCTCGTTCAGCTTGTCTGATATCTCACGACCCCCCTCCTCTCCGCACCACCTCAATTGACCCCAGTCTACGTCCATTCGGGATCATTCACCATGTCCGCTCCTTCTCTTACCAGCTACATCGTCAAGCGCCCTTGGCTCAAGCGCTGGATGATGCCAATTGCCAATTGGTACACTGACGCCGCCGGCTACAGAAGACTCGGTTTGAAGTAGGCCTCCCTACCCTCAATATCCCAAAACAAGCGCCAGGAAATACCGATAGGTCGAAACGATGGCTCTCAATTAAATGCCTCAATGTTTCCTATGGCCTCTCTCCATCCTACCTCGGTCTAGCTTGTCCAGGGAACAATTTTCATAGCTCGCCATCAGACGCAGTTGGCTAATAGAAACAGGGCTGATGACCTGATCCCCGAGGAGAGCGAGGTTGTTCAGACTGCCATCAAGCGCCTTCCCCCTAAGGAGGCTTATGACCGTGTCTTCCGTATCCGCAGGGCTTTCCAGGTTTGTCTCTACTAAATACGAGATCTTCCAAACCAGCGGTCTAATGCAATACGTCAAACAGTGCTCCGTTTCCCACACCCTCCTTCCCGCTAATGAGCAGACCAAGGCTGCAGATGTGAGTTGAATTCCAAGCCTTTTACTTAGCAATTCGCCCTCCCATCCTCCGCAAACCCTCTCGACCAATCCCGTGAAGCGGATTTGTCAACCGACCTACATCATATATAGGCCACCTCGGACCCCCAAAATCAAGGAACCCGAGACCTTCTATGGGGTATTGAAGCAACAAATTGCTGATTGCTATTGCTAGGATGTCGAATACCTGAGCCCCATCATCCGCGAGATCGAGAAGGAGCAGAAGGAGCGTGCGGACCTCGACTCCCTCGTTGTCAAGCGCCGGTAAATACCTTGTGCTCAGTTCTGCTGATTAGGAAGATTCAAAACCGCGCCACGGTGATAGAAAAGCGGGATATAGATGAAGACAGGCTTATGTTTCGGTTCGGTTGCAGCGCTTAGTTGCGATGAGCACTGGCTGAATTTAATTGGTTTTGATACGTCGTTCGATCATGTGTACTGATACTGTACAAATTCATTTGTCGCCATTTTGTTGATTGAATTCTTCCACCTGGTAGTATGTGGCTGGGGCTCCATTAGTCGTAGTATCCGAGGCCATGGATACATAAGTCGGGTCTAACCTGATAAGCATTTGGTTTGACGAGTACGACCAACTACTCTTCTAATGAAGATTTGACGAGTACCAACAGCAGCCTGGGAAAGCACTCCGTTCAGCAGAATACCTGCGGGTTTCAATTTCGTGGTACACGCTACCAGGCCGCCCAATATATACCAACAACATCATATACTACAAACCAAAACCCTTCCTCCTCTAAGTAGTCAAGACCGCGATATCCACGTTCTCTACCCTCCACATGTACCACATAAATAAACTTCTATTGAGGCCATATGAGAACTGCGTTCCATGCGTTTCGCTTTCGGGGCTCATATAACATACCTATACGGAGCGAATTTCGCAGCCAGCTCTAACATATCTTTCTCTGCCATGTACTTGAACTTACCGCCCCCCTTTGCCTTTAATTTACTCACATCTTTCCCTATAAAAGCTGCGCATCCTCTTCTACCCCGTAGTTAGTCATCATCTGAAGATTGTCCAGCCATACCTGCATAGACATAACGCGCAATGACTTACTGCACACCCAGATCACCGGTCGAGAAGACGTCTATACGCTTCAACGCAAAGCAAGCAAACATCTCAACCGACCACTTGCCCAAGCCCCGAACAGCCGTCAACTTCTCAAGTAGTTCTTCATCGCTCGCATTCAACAGCATTCGGGCACTCAATTCGCCACTTGCGAATTTCTGCGATAATCCTTGGATATATTCAGCTTTCCGTTGAGAGAGACCGGCCGTCCGCAGTGTCGCGATATCACACTTAATTATCTCTTCGGGTTTCGGGAAACGGTTCTCCTCTAGTGTATCATCTCTGCTATCCTTGCTGTTGAACAATGCCACGAACTTATTTTTGATTGATTTCGCCGCAGCGCCTGATACCTGCTGTCCGATGATGCTAACCACCAGACTTCGGAAAGGATCGACCTCCTCTGCTAAACCCTCTGGCGAAAAGAGCGGACACGGGTGTTGCTTTATAACCGGTTCCAAACGGGAGTCTGTAGCAATTAAATGCGCGATGGCTTTCTCGAGAAGGTTACCGGTCGTGGCTGTTGGGCGTGGTCGGCCGGTTTTGCTAGGCGAGGCATCCTCAGTACCGGACGGGTAGGCAACCAGTGAAGAACCGTGAGGTGTTAGAAGGGTCGCATTTGTTCTATGAGGTTCAACGGGACGGTCAAGGGGAGGGGGTGTGGAGTGTAGCCTGCTAATACTACGATCAGCGGGTAAAGGATCGAAAATGTTATTGGGCTTTTCTTGTTTGGCCGTGTCGGCTTTTGCTGTTTTGCTCGGGTTTGGGTTCTCAAGAGTCCGTCCTAGAGCCAATCCCACGGCCTTCTTCTCTTTCGTGGAAGTCTTTCGTGCTTTGGTGATGCCGTTGGTTTGCTGAGCTCTGCTAGTCTTCTTTGCTTGGATGGTTGGTTGTACGCTGTTGGCCACAGCGCTTAAGCGTGCGGAGCGCCGGAGGGCCATTGTATATTCCTGTATAGCTGTATATAGATTTTCCGCTTCAGAGTTGATATTGAGGTTCTATATCTTGGATATAAACAACCCAGTAGTCTTTTGGAAAGCTTGAGTTGTAGCTGTGGTTAGTGGATGTCCCGATATGATATATGATGGGAGCTCGGGATAAGTCATCATATCACGGGGCTCGTATTATCGACAGAAGTAGTAGTCTTCGATGGCCTTGATTTTATGTGTCTATTTAATGTATTTCATAGATATTAAGGAATGGATCTCCTTGAAGGCAGTGAAAGAGATATTGGGATGTTGTACATTTTCTAATGTGGGTCCCAACCATTGTGTCTCCCCTATTCATATGCTATAGTCATTTAAGTGCACTACACTTGAAAGTCTCATTGCACCTTGGCATATTAACTTGGTATAATTAGTAATGGGATGTTATCTACAATGGTCGCTCCTCTTGTGGCAATGTTTAGCACATGCTTATAGGTATCCCAAGTCAATTTCTCTGGTGAGTTGACGATTCTAAGATCAAAAATATATATTTTATACTATATAGTTAGGTGGTACAGAGTACTCGAGCCATGGCCATTCAAGTCGAATATCAAGAATTATCTTGAATTTCTAAAGTGCAGAATGTCCGTCCATGCTCAAGTTCTCACTGAAGAACAGTCCAATTGATGTTGCTGAGAAGCATATCATTATTGCTCCTTGCCTTTGCCCTTGCAGTGGCTCAGTTACATATAGAGGATAGGACGGAGTAGAGATGTATCATATTTAGAGACTCTAACATCGACGTAGTAATATTCATTTTTGTTTTACTCGTTCTGATAAAAACGGAATTCAAATAGAATTACTGCACACGGAAATCCAGTCCACGCACACATCCAAGAATAAGTCATACAGAAGAATGTGCTTGCGTCATCTCGACGTTAATTAATGTACAAGCGAACCGAAGCCGTCGATAAACTTGATTATCCACATCAGCAGCCCTAGTGTAATATTGCTGTCCGTTGTATATTGAATTACCCGGTAGTGGATAGGCATCCAAGATACTTATCGATACGGCCGCCACTAGGAAATAAAATAATTTAAACAAATCAGCTCTTGGCCGAAGGAAATGGACTTGGCCATTGTACTCAGTTACCGGCTAATATTAGAAACGCATAGAACCAATGCACCGTATGCAGAGCTTTTGCATGCGCTTGAGTCGTCCTGTTCGGACTTTGTATTCAGTCGAATCTAGCGATACCAGCCAACTTTCTCAAACGCGGCAATAACAAATAGAAATTGGTAGCGACCCACGTGAAGATATGTAACAACGTATGAGTTGTTCAGAAAGCTTAAGTTAAGTGGTGCCAAGCTGACAGACAGGGTTTCCGATATGATGAATGTTGGAGCGGAAGCCAAAGCCGCTGCTGCATATTCCTGGTTGTCAAGGTCGCACGGATGTTGTTCTAATGACCCCCCTACTCAAGTTGCACCGCATCCTGTAATCATCGGGGTAACAATCGTACAGCGTCTCTATGTTCTGTCTCATAGTTATGTAACTCTATGATGTATAAGATTATAATGATCATCCATTCATCCTCAGCCACTTCTGCTATTTCCGGTGCGCAGTTGTTTGATTCATTGAGAGCAGTCATACGGAGTAACGTCCTCGGGGCACTGGGGCGTTAGGTAGTGTTTAGCCACCCGTCCAGTGGCGTCTCGAAGAACGTGGTGGCGGGTAGGTACAGGTAAGATTCGTCTTATGTATTGGTGTATTACCTAGTGTGACAAGGGGTATTATATGCAGTGCATTTCCGATCAAGCCTGGCTTCAATTGAGCCGAGTGAACACTCAGCCAATTGATTGTTCAATCAATGAGTGCACGCAATGGTAGTAATGCTAACACTGCCTGGTTTCCCTGCAACCATCATGCCCTGTTTTGTGTCAACTGAGTCACTCGCCTTATACGCCCCCCATAGCGAGGTCTCGGTGATATAACCCTAAACAACACCCGCACCCCATTTGCCCCATCCATGGAACATACCTTCCCAGAGCCTTCGTTGGTTCCATAGTCTGCATGAACGAGAGGGGTAGACGGGGATATGGCTAACAGAGTGTTTAAACGAGACCAGGTGTGATCAATAGTCTATTGGGGAATTAGGATAATATGCATCCTCTATGACACGAAGGCGGGCATTTGAAGAGCTGTGCGCTCATTGAATATGATGTTGGTTCTCATCGGATATAGAAGAGAGCTGTGGAATATCAACGAGTGTTATTGGGTCCTCATCCCATAACAGTCTGAAATAAGTTCTTCAATGGAGTCTTACGGAATACAATCTCTTCTATATCAACCACCAAACTCAGAGTAAAAACCATGTAGATTCCTGGCCTGGTGTTAATAGATGTAGGTTTGGCTCTGCTATGATTTGAGAAGCTATCGAGCTCTGTGATAAACTATATGTGACCCTAGGAGGGCACAAGCTAGCATGTTAAATCGTCGTAGGAAGAAGAGAGATGTGGAAGAGTCATTTCAACCTATGCTATATATTGGACTTCAATCCGTTGCCATGCCATTGTGAATGCTCTGTAGGAGATAAGTGAAACATGGAAACCGCTTTGAAACAATTCCTAGTGACGGATCGGCGAACAGTCGTTGAACGGTTAAGACGAAAGTGTAGGCAGATGATGAATAGATAATGGTCATTACTTAGACTGTAACTGTGACTACGACGGGCAGTCTTATTGGCCTACTGTTCGGCGTCCTTAGCCTTGGCTATCTCAAAAAGCGTGTCACAAGGCACGAGGTAGGTTGACGCTGGTATGTAGATCAAAGTCTTCAATATGTTTGACCTCAATACAGTAGAAAACCTCGTTTAAAAACTAAGGTTAGGGGATTGTTCGACTTAGAAGCAGTTTTGTCCGAGCTAGGTAATTGTGACGATCGGGAGTGAGGACGGGTTATACAGTTGAGTTGTGATACTACGAGATATAGATAGTTATGGATTCACTCGAGCCTTACATTGAAACCCTTTTGTTGTCGCTGTCATAGTCTGAAGCACTCAGACGTACCCTTGACATGCTTTCGGAGCATGGCATACTCCTTATATGCTTCGGTTCTTTCTTCGCTTTTCGAACATGTGTGATGATGATCGAACCAAGATTTACAAGCACTACGTGGACTAGGTTAATGGGTAGGCTTGTATATTTAGGTGTAACATGCCAAGGATAGGGGATTGTAATGACTATGTACTCCGTATGGTCAATGTAGAGAGCTAGCGGAAATGCCACAGTTTGGAATGTACGGGCAAACACTACGCAAAAGCCATTACCTACCTACTTCGTAGTACATCACTTGATAAGATGGTAAGGGAAGGTAGGAGGGAGGGTAGGCTACGAAATACATTTGGATTACTCCGTGCAGCGATACCAATAATATAGTAAACTACCTGGTCCCGGAAGGAGTGATTGTTACGACGGCTAGTTGTGGAGTTTGGATGGGCCGTGGCCGATAGTGGAGTGATAGGTGAGAACGTTAAACCGATCGCAACGAAAGAAGTAAGCAATCAGCTTCCATTCTTTCCAACAAAGACTGGTTTATGAAGGGAGGAAAAGGATCGATCTGCCAAGCTACAGCCGTTGGCTTTCCCAATTATTGTAAACAACTGGAACATTCCTCAAAATGGCTTTGTACATACGTAGAGAATTACCGGCTTCTGTATTGAGGTTGTTCTGTTTACATCCATTTTAGAATGATTAGTAGGTCCTATTTTTTTTATTTTGATTTTCGAAGTGATTCTAGTAATCTTAAGCTGAGAATTTGCCACAGCAGTACTTATGTATAGTCAGCGTTAAGTACAAAAGTCTAGAAGACGTCTCCATCAATTTGTGCAGATTAACTGAGTCGGGTTGCCCCGTTGTGCTGTAAGATCGCAATTACAGGAGCTTGGTATGGGTCTAGCTAGCTTCATTAGCATCAGACCAAGTGGGCCAGAGCTGAGGTATGGAAATTACAGCCGTCATTGTATTCTTCGACACGTGATGGTGATTGTCTATTGGACGTTCCAGCCGTGGTTTCGCCACTAGACTCACCTATTATTATCATCCATTGGTAACTGTTTACCTATAATTACCCACTTTACCCATGGTACCTGACGAGCCCAGCTCAGAACACAAAAGGGCCAAGAGACAAATGAAAAAATCGAACCGTGGAATTGGTCACATTGAGTTTTACGGAGTAGATCGAGTATCATTATCAACAAAAACTAAAACAATTACGGAGTAGTTAGTTACCTATGAGAACAAAATGCGATCGGGACCAGAAGAATGTAACCCACTGCAATGGACTAACTTGACATGACAAAAACGAAGATTCTGACAGCCACATAATGAACGCGCATGTCAGCATGAGGCCAGAGTTGGTCGCCGACCACTTGGGCAGGCGACTCTTCATTCCAATTGTCTGTTCGCAATGGCTCACAAACCAGAAATGGGAGAGGGAGCGGGTCCCACTAGATTCCAGCAAATTCAGATCGGCCACGGCAGGCTTTATTTATCCTCTGTTAATGAATTTGTCTACTCCGTAACGTTAATAGCATTCAAGGGGCCCTCTGAGAAATGAAGGAACGACATTTGCTCCTAAATATGGTGTGAGTTGGGTCCGCCGTAGTAGATAGGTTCGGCGTGGAATGGGGTGATCGGGCTCTTTTCTTGCCTAGGTACTACGGAGTAGATAGATGCTGGACTGTGATAGTAATACTACTCCCGACGAAGATGTACGCAAATCCATGATATCCATGTAATCTGTTAGAGTCTGGCCCCTTCTAGCGCCAATACAAATAAGTAGTACTTCGTAGGTACGGAGGACTGGAGGGGGAATTGCTGTAAATCTGTATTATTGTTTTATGAATGATCACCGTGATGATCTTGGATAGTCGTATCTATAATCCTATATATCCGTTAAATAAAGTCACTCCACTATGATGAGGTCAGAAAAAAAATTTTTTTTTGTCTTGCTTTTGTTTTGAGACAGTATTTTGGTGCATACCAACTAACGTCTTATACTCCATACATGGTTGTACAGAATACACGATACTCAGTACAAAAATACCGTCGGTAATATGAATGTATCAACAACAATAGTACTGTACAGTTTGGGGCATAGATGGACTACATGGTAGTAGATATTTAGATATCCTAATTTGTATGCAAATAATAGATTCGCGAGGGGAGTATTATATACTCTGTAGACAATCTTATGGGTATTATTTTGGTTTTTATTATGATTATTACTATTTCGGCTACAGGGATCCAGGTACACAGCGGAGGCGTGGGACAGACTGACAATGTTTTGGTATGAATGGTCAATGGCGATGGGGAAGCAAGAATCTGAGGACGAATCAGGATTAGGATTGGACCTTGCTTATTGGAAAGGTGCGACACGATAAGGGGGGAGAAACTCAAGGAACAACGGGCTAATTCCCGTTCAGAAAGAAAAAAAAAAAACAGGATTTCTTTCACCTGCTGGCATTGCACCCGGTAATAATATTTTCCCAATGCGAAAAAAAAGAGGGTTCAAAAATGGAAATGATTGATTACCAAGGTGATACACGTACTAGTAACGTAATTAATTTTCGTCGTAGCAAGGAGGGACCACCCCGGTCTCAGGTCCACCGTCCTCGGGCCACGACTCCTTTCTTTGCGGTCCTGGAAAGCCAATCCTTCCTTCCCTCTTCTGACGCTTTTCTTCGCCATCCCAGTCTCTCCTTCTCTTCTTCTCCTTTCCTCTCTTTTCTTGTTGTGTCAAGACGTGCCTACTCAATCTGTGCACATCCTTTCGCTGAAGGAACCATCATCAAACAGCTTCTCTTTCGTTGAGGCTCTATCTTTCTTCCACTCGTTTATTATATCTTTGGATCCCACCCCCTCTTTCAACTCTTCGCGGCTTTGCGCTACTGTTAACATCGCCCCGTCATACTCAAGCACAAGCTTATTGGTAAGTGAAGGCATCTATTATGCAATTAATACCCCAGCATCTTTCGATGTGTTCAACTTGTGTATACCTATACCTGGGACTGCATCCACCAGTAAACCCTGGTTACCTCTTCGCTGAAAGAAGTCCGAGACTGCGCCCAACGTACTGACGCTATCCCCATTAGAAGAAATCAAATAACAATGTTCATCAAATACGCTCTTCCCGCCCTGGCTGCGACCCAGGCCGTCTTTGCTGCTAGTGATAGTGAGTGAAGAATGGCGCACAGAAACATGATTCGAGATAAATGGCTAACCATAGATGTAGAATGCGGCAAGGGTGACACCATCAAGATCGAGAACCAGAGCGATGCCGACGGCTACTCGAGCTGCAGCACCCTCGAGGGTGATGTTGAGATCTCCGGTACCTACTCCGGCGATCTTCAACTCAATGGAATTAAGCAGATCTCCGGTGCGCTGAGCTGCGATGGTGCTTCCAACATGACCGGCCTCTCTGCTTCTTCGTTGAACTCCATCGGCGACACCTTCAAGCTGACCGGCCTTACCACTCTCACTACCCTCAGCTTCGGCTCTCTCACCAAGGTTGGCTCGATCGAATTTACTGCTCTGCCTCAGCTCCAGAGCCTGGATTTCACCAAGGGTGTTACAGAAGCTGGCCATGTCGTCATTACCAACACTGGTTTGAGCAGCCTTAACGGTATCTCTCTCGAGACCGTCGGTGGCTTCGATATCACCGAGAACACCAACCTGAAGACCGTCAACGTTAACAACCTGAAGAACGCTACTGCCCTCATCAACTTCGCTGGTAACATGGACGGTCTTGAGATCGAATTCCCCAACCTTGGTACTGGCCAGAACATGACCTTCCGTAACGTCAGCTCGGTTTCCGTTCCCTCCTTGGAGAAGCTCAAGGGCCAGCTCGGCTTCTGGGGTAACAAGTTCCAGTCGTTCAGCGCTCCTAACCTTACCGAGACCAGCGACTTGATCTTCAACGACAACAGCAAGCTCAGCAACATCAGCATGCCTGTGCTCAAGACTGTCAACGGTGGCTTCCAGATTGCCCGCAGTGACAAGCTTAACACTATCGACTTCCCCAAGCTGGAGACCGTCACCGGTGCTATTGATTTCAGCGGTGAATTCAACGAGTAAGTTTGGACTTACAAGGGCATGAAAGATTTCCAAAATCCGTTCTAACAATATCTTTTAGGGCCCACCTTGACTCCCTTAAGCTGGTTAGGGGTGACTTTAACATGCAGAGCACTGGTAACATCAGCTGCACCGCCTTCGACAAGATGGCCAAGAACCGCGAGGTCATCAAGGGCACGGAAACCTGCAAGACCACCTCGAACCCTGAGACCCGTGATGGCAAGTCTGGCTCTACCACTTCCACTGGCAAGGCTTCTGCCACCTCTACTGGTGCTGCTTCTGCTCTCGATGTCTCCTCCATGCCTGCTATGGGCTTGGCTGCTGTCTTCGGTGCCCTGGTCCAGTACGCTCTGTAAAGGACGTTTCGATACCAAATTGTCGTGCACTTTGTTATTTTTTTTATCGGACTCCACTTACTACCGTGTAGAGTTGCTTAATCAGCAATGGGTATATTGATTCCTGTGCTTTGTTTTTATGACTATAATTGAACTTGTTTGAGCAAATTCGCAGTCTGGGTTTGTTGTTCTCAGCAGGGATTTGAATCCCAGCTGACGCTCTACTTTTTTTTTTTTTGTCTCACTTTGTATGAAATTGCAATTGGTGGTTAATATGTCTGAAGCCGCTCATTCGTGTCGGTCTCGAGGCAAGCCAGTGTGCTTGATATCAGTAATTACGTGCGGGCCACACGCTTTGTTGAAGACAGGCGTCTTAAGTCTTGTTTTATAGCGCTCCTTTTCAGATGATGTACTTGTGTCACAAACGTTATTATTCTTTGGCCACTTGTTCCAGGGACAACTTGTGCTGTAGGTAGGATTGTGAATAACTTGACCTCGTAAATCCATAACTCCTTGATGGTAGGGAGCTATCTTCCTAGAAACCTGCAAGAGTATTCGGAGTTCCTCGGTTTTTGGCGGGGAGCACAGAGCGATCCAAGTCGACTGTTGTAACTACCCTTAAGACCAATACTATATGTACTACACCTACGCCGACCGATGAGGTCATTCCCACTCTTCTTCAGGCGATTCTGAGATCGTGCACGATTGAGAAAGCGGAAATGGGTCTTAGGACGGGACGCGTTATCTTCTTGGGCATTTAGCACACAGCGGCCCGTGGGAGGGTATGTGCTTCGTACAGCTGTGCCTACATGGATTACTTCTCCCGGAAAAGATACCTTCAATGGGTGCAGACAAATTGACGAGTCATTTCGTACAGTGGGTGCTCTCCTTATACAGCTTCATGCAGAGCGTCCTGCAACCATCTACCTTTCAGGATTTCCCAGTTAAGGTTTATCCTTTGACAAATCGTGACAAGAAAGGAACCTCTCTACTTCGATATTCCGTATCATGATATAGTAGCCTATCTTAAGGGGCGGCTTGAATGAGTGTTCCCTTTCGACAGAGAACAATGATCAGCCTCTGTCGATCCGATATAGTTTCAATTGACAGATCTATATCCGTTTCATTCACCCCCTCGCTACCAATAAACACCAATATGTATGTGCCGTTGTGGGGACAGGGAGAGTGAGGGAAGTAGGAGTTGGAACTTGGAAGTCAAACAGACAAAGAATGAGAAAATACCCACACGGAAAGCAAAAGTAAGTAGGTAGCAAGAAATTAAGGTACTCGAAAATTGACCCGTGGGGAGTGGGCTTTAATGTTTAAATATTGGGGAGATATACAAGATTCCAAGGACAAGAAAACCTAAAAAACAAGAAGGTGATGGATAGTTTGGGTAATTATTAGTTCTGAGGCCGATAGACACTGGAGACTCGTGGATCTGATTGTGTATCTGGTGTGGCTGGAACAAAATTCCTAGGTTTCGGCCATGTGGAAGCAAAGGGTCGGGGAACCGCGGGTTCCTTTTCCTTTCTATTTTTTTCTTCCTTCATTTTTATTTATTTATTTTATATTATTTTGGTTTAGTTTTAGTGTAGCTTAGTGTAGTTTTATTATTATTTTTTGCGTCTTTCCTCCCTTCGTTCTATTTCCCGTGGGTGGGGATAACCGTGTTTTGTCGGTAGCTCTGTTAGTAAAAGTCTCATAGGCTTTGGTACTTTGGTACTTTGGACCAGATGGACAGGTAGCTCTGACGGCTACGCTTTGGGAAATGTGGATAATGGGACTATTCTGTTTATGTACGGATTGACATTGCTTTTTTCTTTATTTTTTTTTTTACCTTCAATGGAGCATGGGGTTCACGGTGGGCTTCCTGCCTTTCCGAGTAAGTAGTGGCTGTTCACTGAGTTTCTCTCCCGATCCCCGTGAATGATTATATCTCTATCCCTTCGATGATAGATGGGGTCTTGACTTCGGACGAGCGGGATTTGCTGGGGCTGTCGTTTCCCTGGCATTTGACAGCAAGTGAGGAAAGCCCGTGTTTATTGAATTTGGGTATCGACGGGGTCCCATCGAAGAATTATAGACCCAAGAAGCCAAGGAAAAGGGAAAAAAAATAAAATAAAATAAAAATCTGGGAAACGAAAAAAAGCTTGGTCTATTTGGAATGCGGGTGGGTTTGATATGATAGATACAATGGGCATGCCTTGCAGCTTTCTATGCGATACTACCTGCCGCATAGGGGTGGTGGATGCCTCAGGTTTTGGTCTTGGGCGTTAGAGCTCAACCATATCTGTTTTGGTTTCGTCTGGATAGGTAGTGTTCAAGGTGGTCTGTCTACCTCTAGAGTGTTGTTGGAATTGGCGATGCTTGAAGGGGGTGGCTCTACGTGGCGTTGGACGGCGTTGGACGGCGGATGCCTGGTAGGCTACGGAGCTCGGTTCATGTCCTGGAGGGTGCGTTGGTTTGGTCTAGTGTAGTGTCGTACGTAGGAAGGATTGGAAGGAAGGTAGGAAGGTTTTTGGCCTTCGTGGACTCTCAGTGGCAATAATGGTCAATGTGGATGGATACCTTGCTATCGTCATACAAAGGATACCATTACTACTTGGCCTGTCTGCCCGCTGTTCAGCAGAAGTAAGTGATGTGATCCTTGCAGGAGTGGATAATGGACCTCTGTCTCCGTATGTGCGTAATAGCGAATACTGGAAAAAAAAAAAAAAAAGGAAAGAGGTACTGCATGCATATATCAAAGAAATGTCGGACGTATGTACGTATCCTAATAATACTATGTCAGCGGCAATGAACTATTGGAGTAACAAGAGCCACAACCTGAAACACGAGCACGAGTCGATTAACTTAGACATCGAATCTCGCCCTAGTCAGCGAAGAACGTCGTCGTGGCCACCTCCCAGCGAATGGATGAGACTTGATACATGATGTCCCCATTGCACAGGGTTAGGCCTGCGGAGGGATGTCCCCTGTATGAGGGTAGCAGTTGTATGCATGTAGTAATGATGCAGGTCGTTAATGTATGTGTGTGCGTTTTGAAACCGGTAGGAGGCGTTAGGTTGTCTGTGTGGTTGATAGGTTAGTCTGTGGTGGGTAGGGCTTCTGGGTCAATGTGATGTATCATATTGTTTGAGACTGTGGCGAGGTTTCGCGTCCGTTGAGGCTTTTTGTCATGACGTTAATTTATTTATTTATGACTTACTCTTTTAAGGCAAGCTGATTTTTCTTTTTCTTTTCTTTTTATTATTATTATTATTATTATTATTATTATTATATCTTTTGCTTCGAGGGTGGCAAATATATAAGGAGTGTCGTAAATTGAAGGATTCATTTGATCGTGGTCGATGATGTTGATCGTGCCCTAAGACGAGGCACTTAGTCTGTACTAATAAGATTGGTGCTATTGCACTGACCCCCCGCTGGATATCCTGCCGTGTAACACTACCAACACAATAGCTCAACCACACGAAGTAACCAGGAGCTCACCTTAGGAAGTGATAACCCTCAGTCGAACATTACAGTACGAATAAATGGAGTTAAATGTACAAACCCGTTGGTATGGATGAGTTCAGAGAGAGAGCTTCCCAAGGGAAGGGAAGCCCTTGCAACTGGAGGATGGCCAATTAAGGTTCAAACCTCACACGTCCCCTCTAATCTATTCCTACTACCACAGTCTGGGTCACCAATTACAAGGCAAATTATGGAGTATCGACTCTTCCAGACCATGGTATATCGGAGAATATATGAGGAATTGGTTAAACCCCAGGCCACTCGGACAATTTCGGTGGCATCGTGAAGGTTCAATGTAGGTACACATGACTGGTTCTGGGTTGCCCATAGCTTAAGAGAGATTCATTTGCAAAAGGTACATATGCGATGTATGTACTTTTGTACATACATCCATCCATCTATCCATACGTCTGTGTGTGCGTGATGGTCTTATTTTGAGTTTCGAAAAGAGTTCGTGCCTGGGTGACGAGTACGTGCAAGGTTGGGTTTGTTGGCTCAAACAGGGGTTCACCATGGTATGCTCGTCTTGATTCTGACCTCTTTCTCGGCTGGTCTTCAAGAATTGGATAGATAGATGGAGGTATTGCCAACTCATCAAGCTAAGAGAACCGGGGCATTCCTAGTCCTCAATTTCGCTTATATTAGTGCTTAATTAAAGCCTTTGCGGTTTGGCTCCTAATGTTCAGAGTCAGTCTAGAGTCGAAGCTCCCCCAATCGGGTAAAAAACGAATCATCCACCATGGTAACGGGAAACGGGTGTAAAATGGGAAAATTAGTTCGGGACTGCTATACCTAGGGGAGGGTCAATCCGGGAAAGACGAAGACCAATCTTTGGTAACTCAAAGGCTATAGCCTCATGGCTCCCAAGGGATGGGCGAGCACGGAACGTGGGGCTAGCTGAGAGAAAGAACACTTGCCAGACGCATGAGGCCCACTGAATTCTTCATACTCACCCGTAGATCCCTAGAATTTCGAATATGACAGATCTTATCCGGGCTGCCATGAGACCCACCACTAGCCATCCTAACGGGGTTACAACAGTCCACACATCATCTGGGCTGTTTGCACTGTTTGAATTTGGCCCCCCAGATGCCGTATTTGGGGTTCTTCCACTTCTCTTCATCTCCACTGAAGTACTCCGTCCCCGGGCTCTGCTTCAAAAGATCCCGGGTAGGGATGATGGATGGGCAAGCCGCCGACCTCATGGGCTGATGACCAGCATAATAATTCTAGCATCGTGAATCTCATTTACGAAGCGACCTCACTGGATAATCTCCACCCTGGTCTGTTAGTTGGATCTAGCGAAACTCCTCGAGCGATCTAAATCTGTCTCCCCCGTTGGAGACGTCACTAAATAACCAATTCCAAATCACCATTCTCGGTAGCAGGTGACAGCCTTAAGCACAGTCTTAACCAAAATAAGAAAACAGAGTCCAGAACTAATAATCGTTGGGTCTGACAGCCGTCAGATCCTGGTCACTGGGATTTCCCGGTGACCCAGGTGAATGGGTCCGTCTCGGGGGCTGTGACGATCAGAAACTCTGTGTTTTGACCCCCTTCTTCTATGGAAGCTAGGAAAGTAGCGTCTGGGCCGCATTCGGCTATACTCGCTGATAATGTCGATTCTGATACGATGGCGTCGAGATCCAGTATTGGTCTATGTGGTCATGTTAAACATTCAACGTCTGGTAGGCACCGACTCCTCACAGAGAGTGTCTCAGGTACCTCTTGATTTGGGGGTGATTTTCTCTCGCCCCAGAGTCCTTGCTTCGTGCTATCTGGCCCTGAACACCTCCTGCGGAGGAAGGATTTACCTCGGGGAACCTGCGTCCGCCTGTGCGTCGGATGTTAATGTATGGTTCATGATCATGGTTCGTCAAGGTGCTCCATGGGTACTTTTGTCTATCTTTCGAATATTCTAGGTCCCTCGCGATGTGCTACACTAGACAGGGGGTGGGATGGAGCCTGCTGCAAGACGACTGTATGTACATACTACATACATTGTAAATCGAGAACGGAGTACTCCGTAGCTCGAGCGATCGAACCCACCCAAAGGACAGGTGTTCCCCTTGTCTCATCATGGCTGTGGCTGCAACTCGCGGATGTCCGATCTGGGGTGTCTGTGGATGATGCTCACGATCTAGAATAGTTGGTTCTCTGTTTGGACCACAGCCCAGGGTGTTGGGCTCACCATGGTATTCTCCGAACCTAAGTCTTGGATATCTATCGGACAAGCGCCGGAACCAGTTCCGCAACAGCCACAGTGCTTGCGCATGGCTGCAGACAATAGGCACTATTTTTACTTAGTCATCATGGGTCTCCAGATGGGGGAGGTGGGAAAGGAATACGATGCTATCCCAGGTAGATTAAGAGGGGAGACATAACAGCATGGTTGACGGCCATTGGTCCAGATGGACTATTGAAGACGTCGATGCAAGGGGATTCGATACATTTACCTTCTATGGCCCGTGTAGATCGAATTCAAACCATTGCATTGGTGACAAATCAAGGGCTTTGAATACTTTCTATTCAAAATGAGTGCCTCGCGATCAAAGCACGTTGATTCGCTGATCGTCTCGGCCTCGCGTCTGTGCCCATTTTGTGACAGAGATTCGGACGAGTCTCGCCCAAAAGGACACTAAATGGGGTCAGTTGAACTTTGCGGAATCTTGAGGCTACTTCCCCGCGGCCTCATGGAGACCGGAAGGGAGGAAGTGGGCTGCAGATACACACATGTAAGTAGTAGGATTGACTGGAGACTCTCCCGGACAGGAGGTTCCATCATGCCCTAACTTTCGACCTATAGTGAGGGTCCAGACATGCAATAAGGGAAGGTAGGGGGAAACGAAATATTATTTATTTATTTATTTCGTATATTTTATTTATGTACTCTGTATTTATGCTCTTTTCTATTGTTATTGTTACTATTTCTCTCTCTCTCTCTCTCTTCTAGAAAATAAATTGAAATAAAAATAAAGGAATGATGATATAGTAAAAGCGAAGGTAGAAAATATTCTCTAGTTTTTCTATTATTATTAAAGGAGACCAACATTAGGAAAATAAGAATAATAAATTAATAACAATATCTATTATTATTTTAGACATATTTGTAAAAACCCAAATAATACTATTGATCGATCTCTGCACCTAAAAAAGAGAAGAGGGAGGGAGAGAGATCTGTATGTCATTGTCGGAAAGTACATATCCACACACCCTAATCAAAATCCACTTCCCTATCGAGATGAGCGCAGATCTTCAACATGATACATCTCCATCTTCACTCTATCGATTACTGCAGTCTCCATAGAGTCCTGAGCGCCGCCACAATCCATTCTCGGGCCCCCTCTCTTACTACATTTGGTTACTGAGATCCATTCCCCTCCTCGTTCGCCATCTGCAAAAGATATAAAACATGCAGCGGATCGCACCGTACCCTTCGGGAAGCATTCATTTCTTCATCTCGTCTATACCTCGTGGATCAGTCTGACTACTCCCTCGTCTAATCCCTTCTTGCTCTCCCATAGCAACATCCTCCCTTGATTGTTTCATCACTAGCCCTTACTTCCTGCCTTTGACCTCGGACCAATTTATTACCAACTGTCTTTCCCGCCCTGAGACCCTTCTCGTCGATCTATCCTCCCCAGAGACATTTGTTTATATCAATCTCAGACATTCACACATACATATCGGCGCATCGTACATATCGACCTCTCTCTGGGTCATCCACTCTACTAAGACATACATATCCTCCCGCTGCACCTCACCTTATCTCGAAACCCTAAGCAACTGCGGCAGCCATGTTTGAAGACATGAGTTCGATGGCCGATGACATCTCACGGCGCTGCTCTCTTCCGTAAGTTCTGACCGTCATTGGCCGCTCGACGCATAACTAACAGGAACTTCTTAGAAGCGTCCGTTCTATCGCCAGCGCACCTAACGCAACGGAAATGACTGAGGACCGTCGGCTACCGCCCCTGCCCCGCGTAGACCCATTGCCTCGCGGGCCATTCAATCCTTTGGCCTCCTCCAAGATCTTCGCTCCTAGCCCACCTAGCTCCCAGGAATCATTCCCTGTCAAGTCGCCGTTCCCAGCATCCGAACACATGGTTACACCCCCCTCGCCTGCCAATTCGGCCGATAGCTCATGGCCCGAGTCCCTGCCTTCTCAGAAAATGTTTGAATGGCCCCAGGAGCTTTCTTCAGCCGACCTCGTGAACTTGATCGCCCCAAAGCATATTAACCGCAAGCCTCCACTGCAGCAACTGTGTGGCCGAAAGCGTAAGGGAAGCATGATCACCGGTGAATGTGATGATCAGAGGGAGAAGCACCGCATTGCAGAGGGCAACCGACGAAAGAACTTGAGCCAGTTGCACCGTGAACTGGACAGTCGTATTCATGACTTCTTCCTTGAGCGGGCCGGGTGGAATCCATCCAAGAGTCTTCCTGAGTCGAAGGAGCACATCGTGCAGGGTGCTATTTTCCTCATCGATTTCATGCTTCTGATCATAGTCCACCTTATTCGTCAGGAAAATGAGATGCCTCGACAGCTATCTGAGAAGCTTCAGCCTCAAATCCGGTGTATGCAGCTCCAGCAGTTGATCGCCAACCTCCAGCAGCAGAACCAGTCCGCTCAGCAACAGATCAAGTCCTTGAAGCAAGAAAATCAGCTATTGGAGGAGCGTAACCAGGCGCTTGAGCTCCAGCTGAAGTCCTATGAACACATGTTCCGATCGCCCAAGACCGAACAGCCAAGTCCCCAGCCTCTTCCCCAGCTTTCCAATTCGAGGCCGCGCAACATGTTGCCTGGCCTACGTGTTTTCTGCGACGAGATCGCCGTGAATGGCACGGAGGCCTCCCGCTTCGACCCCCCACACACCGGGTCTTCCCAGTCCTTTTCGCAGAGCTTCCTCAGCCATTCGCCCCCAATGACCGGGCCTTCGTCGCCGGTCTTCACACAATCGACTTTTTCGGTTCCCGCGTCACGGCGCCAGTCCATAGTTCCGTCGCCATGAGATGGTGGCTGGGCATGTTGCCTCACATACAGAACCCTTACTTGGCGTTGTAATGAATTTCCTTGTGCTTGGGCATAGAATTGTGATTTGGAGCCGATTCTGCTGTTTCGATTGTGTTTTCTGGCATAGCGTGGCATTGTACCATTTGATTTTCCATCGGGACGGATTATGTACACTGGAATGTCTTGGTGTTCTCAGCAGGGGTCTATGGGCCTCTGTCTTCTTGTTTTCACTGGATCCTGGCGAACTGGAGCAAGTGTGGTGTACATCAAAAACTGGGTCAGGAATTGTGAGTTGCACGGATTTCCTTTTTTTTTTTTTTTTTTTTTTTCTTTTGTTGAATTATATAATTTCTTTCCTTTGTCCATATTGGGATTGGTTGTCTTCATCTTCTGGTTTTCTTGGGATGATTCGGAGTGGATGGGGAGTTTTCTTTTACCTCTATCTATACATATATATACGATTGATTTCGGTTTTTTATTTTTTCATTGTTTTCTTTTGTGTGTATCAATGTCCAATTTAAAGCGAATACGAACTTAGAGCGAATGTGACTGAATAAATTATTATTATTATTATTACTATACTCTCGTGGAGTGTCGTGGTTCTGGCCAAGATGGTATGAAATGATGGAACTCGCCCCTTTTACCCAGTATAACAACCAGACGAGTTGGACGGGTCCCATTGGCCGCGTGTGTGCCAAGAAGATAAAGACCCTTCCTTCAGCGCGTGGAATACCGAGCGAGAGCTCATGGTTGACATGAGGCAGACTTGGTGATCTAATCCGAATAAGATCTTTTTGTTTTTTTGATTCACCAACTGAATGACCCTGAGAACGATGTATTGGGGCTGGGTAGTAGTGAGGGTGAATTCCCAGGAATGAAATGGCGTAGGGCCGAATGGACGAGATCAGGTTGAATATCTGATGTGACTAAAAAAAGTAACGTGAACGCCAATCCCGAAGCGTGTTTTGTCTGGACTTTTCCATCCACAGGTGGTCCCTTCTTGTGCCTGCCCCCATTTCAATTCAGTATTCGAGAACCTATTGTTTTTCTGAATTTTCCCCCATTCTTTTACTTCTCCTCTCCTTCGACACGGTCCCTTTCACATCTTGCTTGTAATAATATCATTATTCTCCTCTTTTTGACGACCGTCAAATCCATTCATTTCGTTTCTCTATTCGATTTTGTTTTTTCAATTTTTACTTAATTTATTTTTTTTTTCCTGGCTGGGAGGCATCTTGTTGCCGCTCCCTCCCGCAAACCAACGTTTCTGTCCTTTTTCCACACTCACGGACCATCTTCGCTCCTCCTGCCCCCTTCCCCATACTTCTTGCGCAACCTCGATTTTTTTTTTTTTTTTTTTTTTTTACTCCCTCTTCCCGTCCCAACTGAGTCGACAACAACTTCGGATTGCCTTAGACAAGTGACTCCCCTCGACTTTGTCGGCGCCACCGCCAAGTGCTCTTTTCGGTCGTTCCTTTTCCCTTCCGGTCCGTTCTACCTTCATTGGTCGTGCGATCGGCTAAAGGGTGATTGATCTCCGGACGTTGGTACCAGCGACCCTACATTATTCCCGGGATCGTCACCGGTTCGAGACACCGACAACTTTCGTCTTCGAACGGTATCCATACCTCAAGCCCTTTTCACTTTTCGCTATCGCTTAGATCGCAAAGATGCTTCTCCCCAAGGGTGGTGTAACGTGGAAGTCCGCGAAGGCGAGGTTGCCCCCATGGAGGGCCGTTCTGGTCCTGGTGACGCGGACTCGTTTCCTGGTGTCATTGGCCCTCACCGGCTTGTTGATCTTGCTGTGGCGTGGTATTAGCAAGTCTGCATCGGAGATGCAAAAGTAAGTGATCGACTCGCTTTCAACCTGTGTTTGGCGTGGCACGCAGGCTGGAACCAAAAACCCCTGCACATGATGCCCATACTAACTCGACCGTCCAGTTTCTACTGTTACGGACCCCCCAAGTCGCCAATGGATATGAGTCTTAACGAAATGGCCGAATGGAACGCCCATATGCAAACCCCTGTCGTCTATAACCACCATGAGCCTTACGAAGTCAACTCTTCTACTATTCACAACGTCGACCTCAACCCCATCGGCTCTAGTGCTCAAGCTGTCGCAAACGCCGAACGAGTGCTCATCCTGACGCCGCTGAGAGATGCGGCTCCATACCTGCAAAAGTACTTCGAGCTTCTCTACAAGCTGTCCTATCCTCATCACCTCATTGACTTGGCTTTCCTTGTCGGCGATTCCAAGGATGACACCGAAGGCGTCCTCGTCTCTGAATTGAATCGGATCCAGGAACAGGGCGACAAGGTTGCGTTCCGCAGTGCGAGCATTATCAAGAAGGACTTTGGGGCCGATGTGAACATGAATGTTGAGGATCGACACTCGTTCGCCGCCCAGGGTCCGCGCCGGAAGGCTATTGGCCGGGCACGTAACTATCTGCTCTACTCCGCCTTGAAGCCTGATCACTCCTGGGTTTACTGGAGAGATGTGGATATTGTCGACAGCCCAGAGACTATCCTTCAGGACTTCATGGCCCATGACAGGGATATCCTCGTTCCGAGTATGTGGAATGCTACGTTACTCTATAGCAAAGGCTGACTTCTCTGCAGATATTTGGTTCCACAGATATAAGGACGGTGTTGATGTCGAAGGTCGCTGTAAGTGGAAATAATGCCTTCCGACGATGGTCAATGCTAATATTGACAGTTGACTACAACTCGTGGATTGAGTCTGACAAGGGACGCCGGCTGCGACAAACCCTCGACCCGGACACCGTGCTTGCTGAGGGCTATAAGGAATATGATACGGGCCGTCAATACCTTGTTTCCATGGGTGACTGGCGGAACAACAAGGACGAAGAGGTCGAGCTTGATGGGATCGGTGGTGTCAACATTCTCGTCAAGGCCGACGTCCATCGTACAGGTATGTTATGCACAGCCTTTGGAATGATTGCCCCGGAGAGCTGCGCTTCTAACTGTAACCCTAGGAATCAATTTCCCCGCATATGCCTTCGAGAACCAGGCCGAAACCGAGGGATTTGCACGTATGGCGAAGCGAGCGGGATACCAGGTGTACGGCTTGCCTAATTACGTTGTGTGGCATATCGACACTGATGAAAAACCCGGCAATCTTGGAGACCGTAAAGCGTACTAAGTATGTGTCTGGACTTGGTCCTTTCCTTCCCGAGCCGGCGGCTTTCGGTTCTTATTTTCTCCAAGATTTTAATACCCTTTTCCCGTTTATGTCCGTGGTTCACTACATGGGATTTTTTTTTTCTCCTTCCTACTCGTGCTTTTTGCCTTTACCATTCCCCCCCCCCCCCATTTGGACGTTTGAAACGGACATCTCATGGTCCCGGTAATTAGTCTTCTTCATGTCGCGTTCTAGGGATCGTGCTACTTTTCTATTTTTGGCGCTATGGGGAACGTGTTCAGCGGTGTCGACGCTCATAGAGTGAACGGGTGATTTTACGCTTGTATTACTGGTGTTACCTGGTTTCCCTTGACGACTGTGCATACAAGCCTACTGCCCCCGGCCGGGTTTCCTAAGATTGTGACGGGGAGTGGGGTTTCAGTCTGCCGTGGCCTGGTGCTCGCACCCATTGAGTGGCTGTTATTATCTTCATGATCAATGTCTATGAGGTGCACAGCTCAGTTAGGACTGAGCCATGTCTTAAAGAAAAAGGGGCGAAGCTGTTGCCGTCGGCGAGCAAAGAACCAGGGTATAACGGTGCCTGGCGTCCATGTACATACATATATAGGCTACAATTTGTCGGGCTGTTATGATTGTGAGGCTTAACTGATTCGTAATCGAAAATGGAACCACGCATGATGCAAAGAAGATAATTCGGGATGATAAAAAAGATAACCAATTAATATGGATTAAATGTTTCTGTTTCCCCGCAAGGCGATTGAATTAATCCCCACTTGGACCTCCATAAATACAACCGACCTCTCCAAAGACATCAGCTTTAAATCCTTCTATCGATCACCGATCTGAGACATTCCCCTCCACCGACGCAAGCCACCAAGAAAAGAAAAAGAAAAAGGAAAAATTAAAATGTCCGCCAAAAAGGAATTCATCTGTCTCGTCCCCGACAAGCCAGACGCGCTGCAAAAGCGTCTGGAAGTCCGCGAGTATGTATTCCGCTCAACCCCACCATGGAACTTTTCTCAAAACAACCACTAACATTGTAAATTTCAGTCAACACCTCGAAAACGTAAAGCCTCTTGTCGAGAAGGGCTCGATCGTCTGCGGTGGTATTGTCTACCCCATACCCCCTTTTCTGCCTCTAATCTTCCCCTCTCGAATTGGTTCGAAAATGCACATGAACATATGGACCATGAAATGGACGTGAGAAACTGACGGCGGGGTATATAATACAGGTGGAACGTTGAATTCTCACCCCGTGTCGGGCGAGACCCCTCCCTTTAATGGGAGCGCTTTGATTGTTGTCGCAGAGAATGAGGCCGAGGTTAGGGAGTTGATCAGTCAAGATATTTATACGCACAGTGGTGTGTGGGATGTGGAGAAGGCGCAGATTATTCCGGTATGTTGATGATCCTTTTTTTTTTT